GAATGAGTGGAGACTGGGTGAAAGTGTTACGGAGAAGGGAAGGGAGTTCCACAGAAGAGGTGCAGCCCTGGAGAAATCTTGGAGGCGAGTATTAGAGGTGGGAGTACGGACAGAGGATATACGTAGGTCTTTGGCAGAGCGTAGGGGCCTCGATAGGACATACTTGTGTATTAGGGAAGATAGGTAGGTTGGAGCAGCATTATGTAGGGACTTGAAGGCATACCCACCTATCTAACCTCAAGTACCCATGAAGCGATTAAAGTAACCAATTTAGGGTTAAATGGGTAGAGCCAGACAAGGCAAGTACCTAGTATGTATGCCCCTATCTGCACCAGGGAGGGAATCTAGCCTCCAATGTATAAAATTATGTATATTCATCTTTTCTATCAATATCCCATTGGTGGTCTAATCATCAAAAGGAGGATAACCACTAAATTACATATTTATAATTGAAACATTAAAGAAACACTATGGTGCTAGGAATACAACGAATACAAAGCTAGTGTCCCTCTTCCCCCGCAGCCCCCCTTTCCACCTTCGCCACAGAAATGAAGGGTTATAAAACCCTTTTTTCACTTACCTTATTCAAGCACCGGCTCTGTCTCCACCTCTTCCGACATCATTGTGAAGGGGAACCTAATGCGCATGCTTGAAGAGTGCTCTGCGTGCATTAGGCCTTTTCTACAGGAAATCTTGAATCAATGCTTTCCTATAGAGATTTTGAAGACGCGGGATATCCTCATTAAAACCGAGTAAGATTCAGCATTGGAGAGAAGGTGAGTAAATTATGGTTTTTTCATTTTGTTTTGTTTTATTTAGTTTTGAAAATGCACAGAATGGGGGGCCTGAAACTAGCTAGGAATATTAACACTATAGAGTATCTGTATTCCTCACGGTCCCTGTAAATATAAACTCCAAGAACCATAAATCATACAGCATACTGGAGGGGTCATGGTGCCAGGAGTGTTCTGCTTCCCTCCCACAGTATAAGTGGTCAAACCATTTAGTACTGGTTTGATTTCTTATGTCCTCCTCTCCCCCCCGTGTTCCCCCTGTCGGGCGCCTGTCCCCCCGTGTTCCCTCCCTGTTGGGCACCTGTCTCCATCTCAGGCGAGGGAGCTGTGTGCTCTCTGCTCCCTCTCGGCGCTCGGGCTGTCTGCTGTAGCTGGGAGCCAGAATATGACAACTTATTCCGGCTCCCAGCATCAGCAAACAGCGCGCAGCGAGAGGGAGCAGAGAGCACACAGCTCCCTCGCCGCGTCTGACACTGGACTCCAGGGACAAGTCTATGCCAGCACTCCAGGTAGGGAGGCTGGGTGGAAATTTTTTAGTTTAAAAATTTGACCCCTGCCGGCAGGGAAGATCAGCTCATGCAGAGTCGGCGCTATCTGAGTGCCGGCTCTGCTCTAAGCTTCCATGGGCCGGCTGAGAGATCAAAGATCTAACTCACTGGCCCACAGCAGCATGGAGGGAGGCAGGAGAGGACCCGGGGAGCACTAGACAGAAGCTCTGCCAGGTTCCTCTCGCGAGATCTGAGCATTGCCACGGCAATGCTCAGATCTTGCGAGAGTGAACTCTAGCCCCACAGGCTAGCGTTCACTCTCCACTGGACCACCAGGGATGGCACATGGAAGCAAGGATCCCCCCTCCCTACATAAGGTAAGAAGGGAGGGGGGATATGTACTAATCTGCCCCCACCTTCACAATCCCTCCAAACATACAGCACCCACACACACACACAGCACCTACACACATACAGCACCCTAACACAAACAGCACGTACACACAGCACCCACACACATACAGCACCCACACACACAGCACACATACAGCACCCTCACACATACAGCACCCTCACACACACACAGTACACTAACAGCACCTTTACAAACACACAACACCCTCACACACAGCACACTAACAGCACCCTGACAAATACACGACACAAACAGCACCCTCACACACACACATTACACAAACAGCACCATCATAAACACATCACACAAACAGCACCATCATACACACAGCACACAAACAGCACCATCATACACACAGCACACTAACAGGACCCTCACACACAGCACCCTCACACACAGCACACAAACAGCACCCTCACACACAAACCGCACCCTCACACACAGCACAATAACAGCACCCTGACAAATACACGACACAAACAGCACCCTCACACACACACATTACACAAACAGCACCATCATACACACATCACACAAACAGCACCATCATACACACTAACAGGACCCTCACACACAGCACCCTCACACACAGCACACAAACAGCACCCTCACACACAAACCGCGCCCTCACAAACAGCACACAAACAGCACCCTCACACACAAACCGCACCCTCACAAACAGCACACAAACAGCACCTTCACACACAAACCGCACCCTCACCAACAGCACACAAACAGCACCTTCACACACAAACCGCACCCTCACACACAGCACACAAACAGCACCTTCGCACACAAACAGCACCTTCACACATAAACCGCACCCTCACACACAGCACACAAACAGCACCTTCGCACACAAACAGCACCTTCACACACAAACCGCACCCTCATACACTGCACACTAACAGCACCCTCACCCACATAGCACACTACCAGCACCCTCACACACACACATCACACTAACAGCACCCTTACCCACACAGGACCCTGTATATACATACACATACATGCGGCGTGTGTTTGTGCTTTAGGGTGCACACCCTAATGCAATAGGCTGCGCACGCCAATGAGCTCTCTGCATTGAGTTAAACAATGTACTGCAATGTGCTGACCCTGTATTGCAAGGGAAGCCCCTTCTAGCTATCCTGAAAACCATGAGAAGGTGGGGAGCATTGTCTGGTGTATTCCAAGTACGAAGTGAAAGCATTACCTAATGGTTTGACTACTTACACTGGGAGAGGATGCCAGGGCATGACCAATACAGTGCTTGGAAAATCCCTTATAGTGTTTACAGTGCTTGAAGAGTTTCTTTAAGTTTTAATGCCAAGTCAGAGCTTATGTTATTAATATAAGTATGTGTATTAAGATATATGTAGGAACTTATTGGCTCACAGCATCGGGGCAGGGATGGGGTTACAGTTGATAGGAGGAGAGAAGTCAGCTTGGAAGGAGCAGAGCCAGAAAGAGCCCCAAAGCAGCCCCTGGCCACCTGCCAAGGGTAGGTGACAGTATCTCTTCTTTCTGTGTCATCTACTTATGCTACAAGTGTTCGAGCATGTGAATGCCAGGATGCATGTGTGGGGAGGGTCAGTAAGCATAAATCCAGGGGTGTAGGTCAGGGGAGGGTCAGTGTGCATGAATAAGTGACATATATTTGCAAAGTATCATTGTGCATGAATGTAGGGATATATGTGTTTTGGATTAGTGTGCAATAAAAATGGGAGATAGTAGTGAGGAATGTCATCAGCATGAATGCAGGGGTGTGTGCGTACAGAGGATCGGTGTGTAATAGTAGGGATGTATTTGAATGGAGGGGCTCAATGTGTGTAAAAGAAGAAATGTGCTCACTGTCTATAGTTTATTTCCCCTTAACCTCCCTTGATATTGCCCATTCCCACATCCACAGCTAGTGACTCATTTCTCCCTATGCTTAATAGCTCATTCCTCTCCCAATACCCAAAAGTTTATTACTCCCTTCTACGGTTAAAGGGTGTCTCCAGTACTTTTTTAGTTTTTTGCCAGAATAATGCCCCAATGGGCATTATTCTTTAAATCCTATCGCCCCAAAGATTTAAAAATATTTTAAAAGTGGTTTTACTTACCTAAATCCAGTGTCGGGCGAAACTTCTGGCACTGCACAGCATGCCCCCTCCTTACTTCACATGAGCCACCTGGAGGTCCTGTATAATTTAAACAGCTCAGAGTGCATGCGCGTGCTCTGAGCTGGCAAAGAAAGGGGGACAGAGAGAGAGAAAGGACAGAGGGCAGGGGTTAAAAAATATATTGGATGGGGTTGGAAGGAGGAAGGACTTCAATCAATATGGAAAGAAGGAAGGGAGGGGAGACAGAATTGACATTAAACAGCCCAGAACCAAGTTCTGGGCTGCCTAAGTCACGTGTGCCTGGGGTGCAACTAGCACCTGGCACACAATTGCCAATATTGTGGATGTGCAGTTTTTCATGGTTAAACAGTGCACATCTAGACTCCTACCACCATGAAAACTTCAAAAAACAGAAGAGGTCATTTGAGTATCATAATTTGAGTAGCCCTTTTAATAACCCATTCCTCCAGCATCAAAAAGCCTAATTGTCTCTATAGTCAGTACCCCAATTTGGCGAGCTGTAGAGGAAGTGTCTTCTGTAAAAATAAATTGCATCAAGCAGCCTGCTATTTACCAATTTGCTTCCTCATATATGTTTCTTTTACAGTTAGTTTGTGTAATTTTAACAGTGCTGCTTTCTATGTAATTTGGATGCTCGCCTAATAAAGCTAATCTATTTCTATTCATTCATGTGGACTTTTTCTGGTCCTGACTGGAGTGTAAAGATTAACACATAGGATTTGGAATATGTAAGTGTAAGAGCTGTATGCATACATTTTAAAAGGTAGTCTTCCTGGCGTGTGGGTGCTCAGCTAAAGAGGCAAGGTTATGATGTAACATTCTGCAAAAAAATTGTTTTTGTATAAAAACTATAAAGCTTTGAGCGTGCAAAAAACAAACAAACAAAAAAACAAAACAACCTCAGCATATAAATAAGATCAATACCTACCAAGTGTTTTAAAGTACATTATGTTGTTCCATTCGTAAGAAACATTGCGCTGTGGAAAACAATTTGCAATTATTTTTTTCATTTTTTTGTTCTGTCGTTCAGTATGCTCCTACTCAAAATCTTTTCAGGAAGTGCTCAGTAAAGTAGACAATAAAATGATTTCCCAGATAATACAGGAAAAAAAAAAAAACTTACACGTGACTCAAACTGTTTCAAGATATGGAAAAATCTAGAAACACTTTCAGTTAACAACTTTACATGGTAGAATAAACTTTTTTTTCAGTTAAACTATAGCGCATAGATCTATACTAGAATCCTGTATAAGAATGAACTGTATTTAGAATATATTGCCACTTGTGTTGCTCTGTACAAAGCCTGTAGAGACACATTTAGTGACAGTTGTCACTTCTCTCCAGATGTCCCTAGCCACACTTGCTCTCCCTCCCTTTTCCCACAGTACGGAATGTTGATCAGACATCCCTGGGTTCCATCACCTGTCTAAATCCATCCCTCTGTCACATTCATATATGGAAAGACCAGTATGGCAACATGTGACACACTGCTCTAAAAACAGACTTAGCACTCTTCAGATGATTCTTTAAACAATGTTGCCCAGCTGAGGAAACCCAAAGGACATTTGATCACAGGCGTCCAGGAATTATTTGAAGGGAAGGGACCCGGAAACTGATCATCACAAGATATTTTGCCTAAAGTTTATCCTCCTTGAATAGCTGGGAGATGAGCACTTCGCTGACTTATAACTCCTTGTCCAAACAGCAGCAAACTATGGATAATCTAGAGAAACAGCTAATTTGCCCAATATGTCTAGAAATGTTCTCCAAACCAGTGGTAATTCTTCCTTGCCAACATAACTTGTGCAGGAAATGTGCCAGTGATATTTTTCAGGTAAGAAATTAAAAACATTGTATGAATGATGACATGCTATTCACAAACTAGCCTAAAGAACTGAAATTAACCATTGGAAAAAAATCTGTAATCTATAACATGCTAACCATATTATATATTTCTTCTACTTGCTTCTAAAGTCAAACTTCCATTTTCTAATTACTTTTAATAGTTTGTAAGCAATTTTACTAATACTTTTTATGCATTGTTCCATTTTGCTTTCCATACAAAAGAGAGATTTAAAAAATACATATTTGCTAGCAGCTGTTTTGGCATTTAACTAATCTGACATGTATTGAGGTTTTAGAGAACATACAATATGCAGTAGGAGTGTAACACCTGGTTTGTGAAGTGCATAGCGGGAATAACTAGAAACAAATCATGATAATGAGAACAAAAGCTAACCTCAAGGCATAATGAAGTAAATGTACCAAATAGTAACATTGTCCAAAGTGAGTGAATTAACACAAATAGGGTGTACCATGAGTCTATGACTGAGAATCTGATAAGGTCATTTAACCAACTGACTCACAGTTAATTTAATGGTGTTACGTTTTATAAGGTAGATTTTGTTACCTGTTTTTGTTACAACATGAGTGTTTTGCATTATTTTTCCAATATGTCTATTAAGTGTTGCTTTGTATGATACATGCCATAAATTAAACCTTGACAAATAATGTTACAACATGTCTTCTTCATATCCTGGCCTTTTTAAAACTTATGTCTGAATTTGAATACTCTGCTTATAATGCTCCATGTCGGTATGCAGATGTTAAGTAAGCTATTCCATTTTAAAATCTTCAGCATCCCTAAATATAAATAAATTGACACACAAGGCCGTCAGTTAACTTTAAAGTGTTAAATATAGATTAGCACCCTTCCTTCATTTATACAGTTGTCACCTGGCAAAAGACCCGAAACAAGATTTATTTTAGAGGACTGCTTACCATGCATTTGTAGGGTTAAGGCCTCTGCAACTCAGTAACCAATAATAACAGTATGACACTTAAAGAGAAATTAGCTTGAATCACCTTGAAAGTTTTAGAGAAGAAAAGTAATCAATAAACAAGAATGAAGGAGAACAACAAAGCAATCCGCGGTAGGCAGGATTTAGTGCACAGTCTGAATGAGTCACAAATGTCAGGGATTCCACGTTATACATTAATCTTGGTGAAGTTAAAAGACAAAATTTATCATAGACCCAAAGGAGTATATCTAAATCTGGAACAGATAGAGATACAACAAATGAATAGAACTTTCATTTTGTTAATGCATTTTTTAAATACATCTAGATCAATGATGCAAAACTTGAATCCCATGGGACATATGTGGTCCACTCCAGAGTACCCAAAAAACAAAATGTTCTGCTATATTTCAGTGTATTATATCATATGTCATTGAGTTAATATGTTCCCATCCCCTGCTTGTTCTTCCAGTTTAAATAAGGAATATACATTTCCAAAAAGTTTGACAAGTCTGATCTAATAACAAAGTAAATGTGACTAGTAACCTTTTAAAGAATATTTAAACTTTTTTCTAGGGTATCTTGTGATTTGCTAAAGCAAACCATCATCAGTGACACTTGCTTTCCAAATTAGGGGATTGCATCACTTCCTTTTAAGTCCTATATCATAAAGGAAGTGATAAAATGTTCTTTACTGTATCTTACATCATTTCCTGTTAACACATTGTGGAGGATGTGAGGGTAAAGAAGCCGTGTTTATGACGTGTACTTCTGTTCATAATTTTATAGCAAGACAGGAGGCTTTATGTTTGCTTTACCTTCTTTACTGAAAACCTCCAGCAGCAAAGAAATAGTTAATATAACTTTTCAGAATAACCAATCAGAACAAAATAACAGCAGTATAAAGCCACTAAGGCAGACCCTCCCACATCCTCTTTCTTTGCTGCTGCCTCCAGGTGAGCCCTATCCAACTCAGAGACGGTATCTGCTCTGGGTTTTGTTTGTTTCATACTGATATTGTTTGTGCTTAGCTGTATAGTTATTTTATTATATGTGTTGTATATATTAATGCTGTATTGGGTTGTTGTGGGTGCATGCACTGTGTCGCTTGGGCTGCCTGAATCCCTGGGGTTTCCCCTTGAACCACTCCTGGCTGGCACTCACGCTGGGCGCTCCCACTGCACCTTCAGGATACCGCCACAACACTTCCCTGCTTTTCACGCTTGTGGCACTCAGCTGCTCTCCTATGGCTCAGCCGCAGCCCTCTGCGATACCGCAAGGTAGGCCTTGCTGGATTTTCATGGCTGGACTGTTGCCAGCCTCCCCTGCCCCTTTTCTCTCCACATAGGGCGTTCTCCCTCCTTAGGTAAATGCTCCACTGTGGAGCTAGGCCTCAGGCCTATTTATACATGGGGTGACCCCCCCCTTTATGATTATATAATACTGGTACTCTGTACCCAATATCTATAGCCCTTGCTGGGCCTCACTAGTGTGCCTGTGGCACTTTCTGGGCTAGGTGACCCCCTCCCTCCAACGGTACTTTGGAACCTGGGCCTAAGACACTTAATCTGAGGGTGACCCCCTCCTTTTCATGGTCTATTTCGCATGATATGCTTGTGCTTGTTTGGGTGACCCCCTCTCGCATGCTGGATGACCCCCAACCGGCCTTGCCTGGGTACCACACTGACTGTACCTTAGTATTGTTTTAGTGTCATCAGTCATGACCGATGAATCTGGTTTCCACACACCCGTGGGCCTTCAAGCCTGGTTATGTGCCATACTGATGGATTCGCTGCCAAAAGCCCTTGCTACTCTCCAGGGGAACGCTCATCCTGCCCCTATGGAACCACCACCTGGCACTTCTGGGGCTCTGGACTCCAACTCAGACGGTGCCCTCCACTCTGCCGACATGGGCTCTGCACGCAATAGACCTTGGACAGGTCACGGCGCTGTCGTTTGTAAGGCAAAAATGCTGGCCAAGCTGGCCAGATCCAGATCCGGTTCCAGCGGTCGTCTGGGCGAAGACGCGCGTTCTGGGACACCTGGCTATAATGTCCTGGATGAGATTGGACCCCTCTGGTCACCTGCTCTTTGACCCATGTCTCCTCAAACATCCTCGTTCCGCAGAATGGGCTTCACCTGACCACATAGCGTAGATTCTCCGTTACTGGCTTTGCCATCCTTTGGACAAGGAGGTCCGGGCAAAACTACGGGCTGAATGCACCCGTCCGACACTGCCAGATAAGATGGCTCTTACCCCTGATTTCAACCAGGTGTTTGACATCTTCATGACGAGGTCTGGGAAGGACCCTGGCAAAGGCCTGGATCAGGGCCTATGCTCGGCTCAGAATAAACTGTTCAATCTCAGTGGTTCGCTGACGCAGATTTTCCTGATGGCGATTGATGCCCTACATGGTTTAGCTCCAGTGGACGCTCATCTCCTGCGGGAGTGGAGGCTATGTCAATGTGGCCCTAAACTCATAAAGCTGCAAGGAGGCCCTATACAAGCTGGATGGCAAACTGGCTGACTTGGCCTCTAAAGAATTGGGTCCAGATGCCAAAGGTCTCCTCTTCGGTGACGCCTTCAAGAAGGAGCTGAACCACCATGTATACATTTATACATCTCTAAACAAGGCTCAACTGTCTTTCAAGGGGGTCTTACGGTCAAGGGTCCATTTTTCCTCCAGGGCTGGATAGCTGAGGGGCCGCGCCACCAGCAGAGCTGCCTTCATGGGCACAAGGCCCCCACATCTCGGAGTCGTTCTCATTATCCTCCTCCCAATACCAGTATCTGTTTCCCCGAGGGTCCTCCAGAGGCCGAGGAGCTGCCTCAACACAGGCAAGATACGCATCAGGCAAGAGTCATTCCTCATTTTCCAAACTTACCCATTGCAGGCAGGCTGTCTCACTTTTTTCCTCAGTGAAGGGCTATCACAGGAGATCCATGTGTTCTATAGACTGTGTCTGGATTTCGGATCGAGTTTGTCAAACCTCCGATATAAGCTACCGCCCCACTGCCGATACGTATGGACAAGGAGGCTTCCGACATGGTTCACTCGGAAATACTATCCCTGCTGGACAAGGGTGCAGTGCGCAGTGGAAAGGTGCAGTGGAAAGGGCGACCGGCCCCCCTCGCTTCTTGAGCAATATTTTCCTAGTATGGAAGAAAACATTAAAGTTCCGTCCTGTGATCAACCTGCGTGCCCTCAACACGTATGTCATCTACTGACTCTTCAAGATGGAGGGCATCCATCTGCTAAGAGACCTGCTGTGCGAGGGAGACTGGTTCTCCTGACTAGATCTAAAGGACGCCTATCTCATGGTAACGATCTACCGCAACGACAGGTGCTTCCTTCAGTTCCCCTGGCAAGCGAACATCTGGCAGTTCACATGCCTTCTGTTAGGTCTCAGTTCGGCTCCTTGGTGCTTCACCAAGTTGTTGAAGCCGGTCATGGCCGGTCATGGGGACTCTGAGGGCCAGAGGGATCAGATCAATCATCTATCTGGATGATATTCTGTTAATGGCACAGGATCCAGACATCGCTCGCGATCCACCTTCTCCAGGACCTGGGGTCTTTTTCCTTGCAGTGTAATCTGGATTTATTCGGGTTATGGCGGTTTTGTCTCTAGATGTGCCTGTTACAGTTGGATTCATTTGGTCTTCATGCTCTCCTGCTCGACCTCATCAAAGAAAGAGGAAGTGGGAGGGTCTGCCTAAGTGGTTTTATACTGCTGTTATTTATTTCTGATTGGTTGTTCTGAAAAGTTATATTAACTATTTCTTTGCTGCTTGAGGTTTTCAGTAAAGAAGGTAAAGCAAATATGAAGCCTCCTGTCTTAAATAAAAGCCTAGAATAATCCCTAATTGCATTCCCTGATCCAGCCAGACAAAAATAATGTTGAAAACATCGTTAGTTGGATCATCTGTAATTTGTACCGGTCCTTTTTTACTTAAAGGATTATCTCTCCTGTACAAACACTGATCAGCCACAACATTAAAGGGACACTATAGTCACCAGAACAACTACAGGTTATTGTATTTGTTCTCAAGAGTATATTCATTCCCTTCAGGCTTTTTGCAGTATACACTGTCTTTTCAGAGAAAATGCAGTGTTTACAACAGCCTAGTGATAACTCCACTGGCCACTGCTCCTGGCTGCTAGAAGTGCTTCCTGGGGCAGTTCTGCACAGTGAGCAGCACTGACATTCAGTGTCTCCACCCTCTGCATGAAGACACTGAACTCTCCTCACAGAGATGCATTGATTCAATACATCTCTATGAGGATATACTGATTGGCTAGGTCTTGTGCTGGGTCTGCCTCTGATCTGCCTCCTTGACAATCCAGAGCATAACACTGTCTCTGCCGGCTTGCCTTCTTACCATGGTGCATCCTGCTGCCATCTCTTGCTCAGGTAAACAGCGCACATGCATCCAGCCAGCCACCTGATCTTAAATAAAATGAATTCATCATACCAGGCAACCTGTTCCATTGCTCTATGATCCAGTTCTGATGCTCACGTCCCCATTGAAGGTGCTTTTAACAGGGGTCAACATGGGCACTCTGACTGGTCTGTGGCTACACAGCTCCATATTCAGCAAACTACAATACACATTGTATTCTGATACCTTTCTATCATGCATTAGGTTTTCCAGCCATTTCAGCTACAGTTCTGCTGTGTTTTATCAGACCTGACATGCTAGCCTTCACTCCCCACGTGCATCAATGAGCCTTGGGCACCCGTGACCCTGATGCTGGTTAACCAATTGTCCTTCCTTCACCACATTTGGTAGACACTGACCACTGCATACCATGAACACCCCATAAGACTTGCCGTTTTGGAGATGCTCTGATCCAGTCGTCAAGCCATCACTATATGGCCCTTGTCAAAGTCACTTGAATCTTTTTGCTTGCCCGTTTTTCCTGCTTCCAACACATGAAATACACAAGCTGACTGTTCACTTGCTGCCTAATATATTTCACCCCTTGACAGGTGCCATTGTAATGATATAATCAATGTTTATATATCACTTCACCTAACAGCTTGCTGAATAGACTGTACAGAGTGCCCATGATGACCCCTGTCCACTGCCAAAAGTGCCTTCAGTGGGAAAGTGAGCATCAGAACTGAATCCTCAAACAATAGAAGAAGGTTTCCTGGTCTGATGAATCACATTTTATTTTAGATCAGGTTGATGGCTGGGTGCGTGTTCATTGTTTGCTTGGGGAAGAAATAGCAGTAAAATGCACTATTGGAAGAAGGCAGGCTGGCAGAGGCAGTGTGTAGAGGCAATGTGCTCTGCCGGGAAACCTTCAGTCTTTGATGTGGATATTACTTTACCACCTACCTAGAGATTTTTGCAGACCACATACATGGCAATGGTGTTCCCTGATGGCTGTTGCCTTCTTCAGCAGGATAATGCTCCCTGCCACACTGCAAAGAAATTTAAGGAATGGTTTAAGGAACATGTCAAAGAGCTCAAGGTGTTGCATTGGCTTACAAATTCCCCAATCTCAATCCAAGATTTGTGTGGTGTGCTGGAACAACAAATCTGATCTACAGATACCTCACCTTGCAACTTGCAGGGCTTAAAGTATCTGCTGCTAATGTCTTAACAACAGATACCACAGGACATGTACAGAGGTCTCGGTGAGTCCATGCCTCGGCGCATCAGGGCTGTTTAAGCAGCACAAATGGGACCTACATGATTTTAGACAGGTAGTTTTAATGTTGTGGCTGATCAATGTTTATGATATTATTGCAGAAACAAAAAAAACACAAACAAACAAACAAACAAAAAAAAGCCTTTCTGTCCCTCTCTTCTGCAATCTGATGCCTAGCCAACCTATGATAAAGGATTGGGTTCTATGTAAATCTATATTATAAAGACCAACACAGATGAAAAGTATGTTGACATTACTTAACAATCATATTTTGTAGATTGTATTGCTTAAATAAAATTTATAAAAGTATATTCTACACACTTTAACAATGTAAGTGTTAGGTGTAGATTTATGAACTTGCTTTATTTATAATAATATAACTGTTGTATTACCAAAAATAAAAATGAATCGATATGAAGACCTATTGGATAAATAATTATATCTTGATTACAAAAAAAAAATGGAAATGTCTCACACTTTTTTTTTTTATATTTGGCAAGAACAGGCAGCCAATCCATACCTGCCAACAAGAGGAGGAAACACTGTGGCTTCTGGAGGGCGTTTTCGCTGCCCCTCTTGCAGACACGAAGTTATACTGGACAGACATGGGGTGTATGGACTACAGAGAAATCTACTGGTGGAAAATATCATTGATATTTATAAACAGGAGTCTACAAGGTAATAATATGTCTGTGGTCATGGGACTTTATATGCACTGGTTCCTAGACCAGTCCTCATTACCAACCAACAATTCAGGATTTATGTATTTCCTGTTTTATTCCAATGGAGATACTGACAAAACCTGGACTGTTGGTGGGTCTTGAGGACTGGTTTGATAAACACTGCTCTATACACAAAAACATAACAAATATGTGTATCTGCCATTTGTATGAACTTACATTGTTTTCTAGGTTTACTATAATGTGTTATATGAAGATACAAGTAGGGGATGTATTAAAACATAATACAGAGATGTTTTCCTGTTTGTGCATGGAATGTTTGCTACAATATGGAGAAGTTTTATGTCACTCTCAGTGTGAGGCAAGGCTGTCCAGGGATCGAGTTCATTTTTTTTCACCCTTCCATTGTTAGCCCTGAATTCCCTGTAAAATCTCCAATTACATAATTTGTGACAGTTCAACTTTAATTGCAACATATTTGGAGTTAGAGGAACACTCCAAGCATCATATCCACCACAGCCTCCGTTAATGGTAATGGTACCAGTAGTGTCCTGGTCCCATCCCAGATTATTTTTTTAAATCATTTTCAAATGATCCTGCTTTTGTATTTTTCTTGCAGGGGAATCCATAGAGCTTCACTAAGTTGAGCAGTGCCATGCAGGGTCACATTTAGTGGCTGAGGGCATCAACTGATAACTCTCAGTTAATGTGCCCAGTCCTGTTTCAAACCTGCTCCAGCTCAATGAAGACATCCAGCTTCTCTTGCAGGAGAAGTCTGATATGATGTGGATACTCAGGGTAGCCAGGTACATTGTAAATTGTTCTAAAAAAGTTTGAAAAATTGCTCTGGGAGGAAACCAGGACATTCCTGGGAGCAGGGCTTCCCAAACACAGCACAATTTCTAGGCCCCAGGGCTCATCCCAACTCCACAACCCATGCCACCACTATCCCGCAGGCACTTAGAGCTGGGGTCAGCTCCGTCTCCGTTTTACCCCCAGCTCCATCTCCCTCACCCCAGCTTTCTCTCTCTCCTCTCCAACGCCCTCTCTCATCTCCCTCTCACCCACAACTTTCTCTCTCTTCTCCAGCATCACAGGGCAGCTCTGTCCTGCGGCTCCCGTGTGGTGTGCTGTTGGAGGAAGCACTACTGAGTGAGTTTAGGGGCTTAAAACATTTCCTGATCAGTAGCTGCCTTCCTCATACACTGCACTGTGAAGGAACTGGTGTCTGTGGAAAGACAAGACCAACTCCTTCACAGATACATTCAACAACCATTGCAGCTTCCCCACTCCAAAATCTGTGGCTGTGCGAGGAACTACTGGCTGTTGCTGCTTCTTGCACCTCCAGAGAGTGGGAGACCATCTGCAGCCCAGACAGCGGATATACTAGTATGGGGTGTACCTCCCTGATGGCAGCCCTGCCCGGGACCATAACCACTACAGCAGTTGTGATACTTGGGAAAGTTCTTTAGTTATATAACACAGTGTTAGGATGGCTGCAGAATGTTTAAGCAATGGGTGTGGGTTTAACCCTCTAAGGACACAACTTCTGAAATAAAAAGGAATCATGACGGAATAGTTCCATCATGTGTCCTTAAGGGGTTAATGCAGCATATTTGGAGTCAATACTGCAGGTGCAGGGTTAATACAGCATGGTGTGGTGTTAACAGGAAATGAGTTGGGACGTTTATAAATATAGGTTTATATAAAACTGTGAATTCATTTAAGACTGTTGGTGTCATAATGTGATATGATTCATAAAACATGTTAGGGTTTAGTGTTACACATGCGCATAACATATGCTAGGGGCTTTGGGAGAGGCTTAAAGGAACACTCTGGGCACCAACATACTTACAATTGGTTATGGCCATTTCCTCATGCTCTCTTCATAAAAAAAAAAATAATGAATGAATATAAAGGAAACACAAATGTTTTGCAGCAATCTGCAGCAGAACCCTGTTCCTTTATCCACGTTCCCTCTTAGTTAAAAAGAAATTTCTTTAATAGATATATTCTTAGTACATACTCAGCTCAGTCAATGCAAAATCAGTGTGAGCTGAGATGCCGACTTAACTCCATGCCCACAGCCAATCACTGCCCCAAGCTGAGCTAAGAGGAAAATTTTGAAATAATAAAAGGACAGTGATTGGCTATGGGACAGAGTAATATAAGCTATTCAAAACAAGATGCTTTGTGGAAAATGGGAGCATGATTAAAGATGCAGGGTTATGATGCAGAAAGGTGTAAAATCTACTTCTTTCATTTTTTGGAAAATTAATTAGATTTAATATAAATAAACACACAACATGAATATGAGACCAACATCAATCAAATCCACTTGTTATGTTGTTGCTCGGAGTATGATTGGAGTGACATGGAGTCTCATGCAGCGCATAGCTTTAATGCCTGTTGACAGCATACATACATTAGAAGTACCAGCAGGATTAAATCCATAATGATGCCAAGGAGCCCCAGGTATCATTGGATACCTGAGAGTCCCCCCGTCAGCTGAGGCCAAAGTTAGTGGCCCCAGACTGACAGATAAGCTATGTGCAGCACCTTTTAAATCCATTTAAATACCGCAGCTAAGCGATCATGCTCAGCTGTAGTGACTGTAAGTCTACCCAATCTGAAACAGCAAGACCCAGATATCTTTTGATACCTAGTGGTCCTCTCTGTCATCTGAAGCTACAGATAGTGGCCCCAGACTGACAAATGAGCTATGAGCAGTGTCAAAATGAGCGCTGCACATGGCCCTTTAAATCACTTCGGTTAAGATATCATGCTAAGCCATGATGATTCGGAGTCTTCTACAATGATGAGGGAGGCCCCAGGGTTTGAAAAGACCCAGTGAAGTCTCAGTTCTTGCCCCTCTGCCCAGTTATTGGAGCTGGGCTTTAGTGGTTGGAGTAGGGATAGGATTAGGGGAAGAGGTATACATGTGGGGTATCATTGTACTAGAGAGCAGTAGCAGAAGACAAATATGGGATTTACAGTAATGGGACAAATGTGGTCTGTGAATTTCCCCAAAATAAAATAAAAGTGTGAAAAAAAAAATATTGTGATTGAAGTTCATGATAAATAATAAAACAAAAAGAATCGTAATGCTCTCCTAAATAGCCAGGGTGATCTGCTTTCCTCAAATATATTCTTTCGGTAGTGTTTTTGGATTCTGTGCTCTTTGCAATATTGATTTTAGAATTTCTAATAATGTATTATAATCCTAGACATATTGGTTATTTTAATAATCAGGACTAATTAGTGAATCTATTTTCAATTAGTTTTCTATAGGTGCACTTACTGTGTACAAATGATTAATATTAAATAATAATGTTTGAATATTTTATTCATATTTATTATTGTGTTATGTTTACATATATGGTTTTAAAACAAAAGCCCTATTTCTCTTTTACACAATGAGGTATAATATGTATGCAGTTAAAACAGGTTGAAATTTGTGGTAGAATTAACGCATGGCAAAAGTGTGAAAAAGACCTTGGTCACAAACGTGTTGCATCTCAAGAGAGCCTTGGTCCTTAGGAGGTTACGTCATTACATGTGTCATGGGTTATCAAACATATGCTTGGGCAGAAGTCCCTGGTCTTTTTACCACCATATCATGGTGGTGTAAAACAGGACTATCCCACTGAATCTTGGTTTGAACAGGACAGTCCTGATTTATGTAATTAAATATGCAAGTAACTAAATTGGCCATGCTAACAGGGTTTAGTTTTTGGATGAGTGCATTGAAGGCCACCAATGAACATGAAGAACCAGGAGATTTGTTTTGGAGAATATTGTTTATCAGCTGTGTTCCTTTGACTAGAGGAAAACATAAGGTCGTCTCAAATAGAGTTTGTTAGGTCAAGCTATCAAGCTATGAAAAGCACAGCTGTGTCCTGCGATAACACTCAGTTTTCAAACCTGGGAACCCTGGGTTTTTGGCTCTGTCTCATTGTTTATATTCCAATCTGTGGGCCTCCTTTTGCCTGCCAGATAATTCGCAGTTTCAGACGGTACAGCCGTGTCACACATTGATTTACTGTTTTCATAACACCCCTCAGACCTTGTCTCCATTAAGGTGTTTTGGCTAAAGCAAGCTCACTAGTATAGGTGGATATTTCAAATCTTCCCGGTGATTTTCATAAAGTTATACAGTATATTCAATGTACAAGCTTTTGTGTGACCCTCGCCTCAACCAATAAAATAAATGGGTTTACTGATGTGAAGTTGACGTTAGAATAATTACTAGAACAGACAGAATAAAGACATTCAAGTCAGAAAAGCAGAGATCAGGAATTCAAATTTAGAAAATGGACTCATACACCCAACACAAACACACATGATTTGCTGCAGTAACCTAATAAGATTGTGACCAGTGAGTCTGACACATAAATATGCACGTACATACCAGTTGCTGCGATTTCACAACACCTTCCCACTTACGCCAGCAAAACATACAATTTCAACTAAAGCTGTTAGTTATACCGCAATGATCCTGCTAATGAACCTGAGGTCTTTTGTCTTGAAGCCAAGTATTTCTCGGTTTGTCAATAAATGTGTCAATACATGTTGTAAACATTGCTGTCAGGTGCTACTGGTTTCGTTGGGACATCACCTGTTTACAAGAGGAAATATGAGAGAGGGAGCAACAGATGGGCAGCATCATCATCTGATCGGTGTCCAAGTTTTATAAATATCCCTCTTTGATTTACAAAATACCTAGGGTATTATGTAAGCTTCGAGCTATACAGTCTTTTAGATTTAATTTTAGTTATCCATCAATTGGTGGGATAACTTTAGAACAGAGGTTGCAAAATAGTCTCTCTATAGTTTAGTGACCTTGGTCCAAGCTGATACATCAAGCTGATCAAGAATAAAATAAATAAATAAATATATATATATATATACTTTAGTAGGGCTGGCTTTTGGGTATTGTGAGCTGTATAGGTCCATTGCACCCATTGTACAGCACTACGGAATCTGATGACGCTATATAAATAATAATAATAATAATTGGCAAAAGCACCTATCTACAGGTGTCACATGGAGTTTGATGGAGTTTCGGCAAAATAAAGCCAATTAAAATTTCTGGTTAGGGGGGAAACTTAAATTTTATCATTGGTGGACTGTCTACGGGTGAAGGTGGGAGTTGAGGGCAGAAGAAAAGAACTTTATTTACAGTTCTTCCTTTTGTGACAGCTTGGTCAATAACAGAAGTGCAGGCAGATATATTAGACTTTACAGTCATAACAACCCCACCTGCATAACCACCTGTATGTATCTCCAAGCTGCAGAGTGCAAAGATTACCCATCCTTTGATTAAAAATAAATGTGCAAAATTAACTGTATTAAAGGAGATTTTTTTTTAACATATGTATAAATCCGTGCAAAACAAAGACACTGTAACGAACGCTGGTATTTTGTATACCCATTTGTTTGGTTCCTCCCGAACTGCTAGGTACTTAGTGATTATAGCTCGCAGTTCAGGCGCTGAGTTGTACATTCCCCAGGAATCCAAGTGCAACATACAAGTAAATTCCGCTGTTCAGCGGTCACATACCCAAACATCAGTCAAGACTAGATGAAGGGTACAACAACTCTGTTTATTATGCCACACACAGCTTTTATGCATAACTCCATGCAAGAGGTCTTCTACCCAACCAACCAGGGGTTTCTATCCCAGGAGCCTCTGTACCTGGGAGCCAAGGTGTGGGAAAAGGGACCTAGTCTCTTTGTCTCCCAGGTACAGAAAGCCCCCCACTCATGAAAAGGATCTCCCACACCAAACAACAAGGGGTCTTCATCCCAGGATCCTCTGTGTCTGGGACCCAAGGTGCAGGAAAAGAGACTGTCTCTTTATATCCCAGGCACAAAGCCTGCCAAAATAGCCAGTGCCCCAAATGTGTCCCACTAACCTCAGGACCCCTCACACAGGTGCATTTCCTCAACCAGTCTCCGTTCGTGAGGTTCCTGTGCGAAACTCCTGCAAGGGAAGCATCTCCTTTCGGGATACGAATGCTCCCCCTGATTGGCGTTCGTCTATACGAAATGGTGGTCACCCAGGGGAGCACTCATTAATTACTTCCCATGCGGTTTCGCACTTATGTTACAGGTGTGAACGTTCTAATTGATTAGTGGGAACATTCTAATGGGGCACAGGGGTGGTCCCAAAAACTGACAAACGGGTTCCATTGGTATGAACGCTCCTGAACGGGGAAACAGGGCATAGCACACGAAAAGGCAGGGAAATACACAGGGAAAATATACGAATGGACATGCACATTGATGAACAGAGGTTCTGCCGCAGGCACCAAGTCTGTAGTTTCTTTACAGACACGTAGGGTAGTTGGGATGGACTAGCACTGTAGAAAAGATGGTCAAGGTGTCTTGGGGTTCCATAGTGTCTGAAACCAACCTAAATTTTTTCTCTACAGTGTGGTCAGGAGTGTGGCCAGGTACGGAGCAACAGGAACCTTTTCTGCACAGGGTGCCAGAAAGTCTTAAACCAAATTAATTTGGAAGGAATCAAACAAATATTCAGTAAAATAAATAACAGTGAGCTGGTATTAATATTTCTTTAGATAATGTTAATGTTTCAAATATTGTTAACCTTATGAACACATAAAAGAACAGAGTAATCAAAAGGAATCCGCGAATAGCACTTTGGGGTTCCATGGTGGGGTTGGTAGACATGAGTACAGACTGAAGTAGTTATCCATCCACGTGTTTTGCAATCTGGGAGTAGTGTCTTTAGCAGACAGGTGCATCTGTGTATTGTATAAGGCAGTGTCCTGAGGTGGGTGGTACCCTACACTGGTTTACACTTGCAAGTTATTTTTGGGACACTGCTCAGATGGATATGTCGCTAGAGTTCTCTGTTATGGAGGTAATTACAGTGTGTTTACACATTTCCCTAATACCCACCCAATACAAAATAAGTGACATATCCAGCTAAAGACTCCCAGCACACCACAAGGTCCAGGCGTCTCATCACACATACTACACAAAATCATTACTACCTTAAAATGACCTTATAGTCACCAGAAAAACTACAGCTTAATGTAGTTGTTCTGGTGAGCATAGTCAGTCCCTGCAGCCTTTTTGCTGTAAACACTGTCTTTTCAGAGAAAAGTCAGTGTTTACATTACAGCCTAGAGATAACTAAACTGGCACTCGTCAGGTGGCTACTAGATGTTCTTCTTGGGGCAGTGCTGCATACTATGCAGCCCTGACATTCAGAGTGCCCCCCCCCCTGCATGGAGACACTGAACTTTACTCATCGAAATGCATTTAGGAGATGCTGATTGGCCAGGGAGGTGTTTGTTTCTACGCCCTTTTGTCCCCCTGCCTGCCTCCTTGACTGAGATCATCAGAATTGACTTTCTCTGCCAATCCAATCCTATGGGTTGGCTGAAATGATCACTTCTGTTCATGTCAGCCAAGGAGGCGAATCAGGGGCAGAGCCAGCACTAGAAGACATGTTTGTGTTCCTGACCCTATAGTGCTCCTTTAAAATCACTTTACTCCATTTTATGGTAAAATTACCTGATGTCTTGCTATACTTGACTAGGTCCTGCTTGGCTTGAAACCTTTTTTAAAGAGAGAGCATTGTAAATTTAGCCTATTTCATGCAAGCATATTATCCATAACCTGCAACCTCAACAATGAAATTATTTAAGGCTGAGGTGAAACTTACTGTTTATGACATATCATTTCAAACTTGTGTTTTAAGTTATGTATCACAATATGTATCACATTTCACTTTTGAGTCCTGCGAGATCCAATGTATCCTTTCTCTGTTTTTCAATGAATGTTTCTTGCAATAAAAACATATTTAAAAGGAATCTGCAATACAATACTTGTAGAAAGGACCAGGCCAGGTCCAATACATAGAAAAAGCAGAGGGAGACTCTGGTCAGCTCCACTGAGCTAAACAGGACCATACAGGACAGCTTGTGTCAGTTAAGCGCTCTCAGCCAATGAGGGAGGTCCTGTTTTGGACCTCCTAATCTCAGTTAAGACATCTGGCCTGGCCTGCAGGAGAAGTACAAATGTGGACCAGGAGCTCAGAGGACACAGGGGTGTTTTCAAACCATTTAAAAACATTTTGACACATTACTCTGTAAATTCTGTAGGGCACTCCTTATACCATAACCACTACAATAAAAAAAAAAGCTGAAGTGTTAACGGATTTGGAGTGTTTCTTTAAGCTTTGGAATTGTCACCACTAGGCTATAAACAAGTCCTAACAAGTAATTTATACAGTTAAATATGGGCACCTTTTTAGTTGGTCCAATAGTGTTTTCCTTACTGAGAAATGTACAAATGTAAACTGCTATATAATTTGGTCTGGAGATATAATACACAGTATAAGAGAACATTGACACCGAATTCCAGATTTAGTGACTTTATCCCTTGCCAACTCGAAACATAATTTACTACTATATGACGGCATCTGAATGTGTTAACCTATTGCATGTGTTCTTCATTCATGTGATGAATTGACTGAGATTCCAATTATAAAACTCGTGTAATTATAAAACCTTAAGGCGTTTTAAGCATTACAAAAATTGTATATACGATGCAGTAATTAAGAAGAACAAGTGAGTGGGAACGATCCCGAAACACCACTGTGGCGATAATTGGCTTCTACTCAGGAACCTAACTGCGCTGTGGTGTTTTTCCTTTGCAAGAATTGTATTACTGTATAAGCCATTAATATACTGGTACGTGTCATTACTCTCACACACATGTGCTGGGACCATTGTTAGCTATTGTTTTTCCTGTAGGTCTTTACAATTCTCTGATGAGTAGCCATACATTATTGGGAATCTCATGGGAAGAAACTGTATTCCTAACACGATTGTGCACCCTGCCCACTACCCCCCTCCCAGCGTAAAAAAAACATTTTAAACACTTACCCGATACCAACGCAGGTGTTCCTAAGCACTGAGTCGTACTCCTCCCCCACTGACATCAGCCGATTGGTGGGACGTGTGCATTAGGCCTTCCCCAATGTAAAGCATTGCCTCAATGCTTTCCTCTGTGGCTTTCTAGATGGTGGATGTCCTCACATTGTGCATGTCCAGTGTCATTTCACAAAATCCAACTCGATGAAACTGCAGAGAGCACCTCTAGTGGCTGCCTAGTAAGCCTTGCAGTTTCTCTCTGTGTTATATATTGCGGGGTTAAGGGAACAGGCACATTGTACTTACATTGCAAATGTAACAGTATCCCGCTGCTTTAACCCTGTGTACACTGTGTGCTGACAGCTCATGGAGAAGCTGACATATTTCATAACAGCAGCAACATTTACTAGAAAGCTAAAGTTGTCATAGTAGGAGCACTACTGAAGATGGGATCAAAAAAAGGAGAGCTAAGAGAGGGCTAGGAAGATAGAAGTTAGACAGAGAGCATTATACATAAACATGCTCTGTGTGAGATTCTTTGTATTGAGCTCTGTATAATCATACACAGTGATCCTTGCTGTGTGGGATAGTCATGGTATATCTTTATTGTGCCCAATTTGGTGTGTTATTTCTCTGTATTTTACTCAGCTCTATCTGTTGTACGGGTATCTGTATAGTCTACCCAGCTGTGTATTTTATAGGTATCTGTGTATTGTATCTCTACATGCCCAGCACGTTTTATTGTATGAGTATCTATTATTATGTTCAACTCTGTGTATTGTATGAGTATCTTTTATTATGTTCAGCTCTGTGTATTGTATGGGTATCTTTTATTATGTTCAGCTCTGTGTATTCTATGAGTATCTATTATTATGTTCAGCTCTGTGTATTGTATGAGTATATTTTATTATGTTCAGCTCTGTGTATTGTATGAGTATATTTTATTATGTTCAGCTCTGTGTATTGTATGAGTATATTTTATTATGTTCAACTATGTGTATTGTATGAGTATATTTTATTATTTTCAACTCTGTGTATTGTATGAGTATCTTTTATTATGTGCAGCTCTGTGTATTGTATGAGTATCTTTTATTATGCTCAGCTCTGTGTATTGTATGAGTATATTTTATTATGTTCAGCTCTGTGTATTGTATGAGTATATTTTATTATGTTCAGCTCTGTGTATTGTATGAGTATCTATTATTATGTTCAACTCTGTGTATTGTATGAGTATATTTTATTATTTTCAACTCTGTGTATTGTATGAGTATCTTTTATTATGCTCAGCTCTGTGTATTGTATGAATATCTTTTATTATGTTCAGCTCTGTGTATTGTATGAGTATATTTTATTATGTTCAACTCTGTGTATTGTATGAATATCTTTTATTATGTTCAGCTCTGTATATTGTATGAATATCTATTATTATGTTCAACTATGTGTATTGTATGAGTATATTTTATTATGTTCAGCTCTGGGTATTGTATGAGTGTTTTTTATTATGTGCAGTTCTGTGTATTGTATGAGTATCTTTTATTATGTTCAGCTCTGGGTATTGTATGAGTATATTTTATTATGTTCAGCTCTGTGTATTGTATGAGTATCTTTTATTATGTTCAACTATGTGTATTGTATGAGTATTTTTTATTATGTTCAGCTCTGTGTATTGTATGAGTATCTTTTATTATGTTCAACTATGTGTATTGTATGAGTATCTTTTATTATGTTCAGCTCTGTGTAATGTATGAGTATCTTTTATTATGTTCAGCTCTGGGTATTGTATGAGTATATTTTATTATGTTCAGCTCTGTGTATTGTATGAGTATCTTTTATTATGTTCAGCTGTGTGTATTGTATGAGTATTTTTTATTATGTTCAGCTCTGTGTATTGTATGAGTATCTTTTATTATGTTCAACTATGTGTATTGTATGAGTATATTTTATTATGTTCAGCTCTGAGTATTGTATGAGTATATTTTATTATGTTCAGCTCTGTGTAATGTATGAGTATCTTTTATTATGTTCAGCTCTGGGTATTGTATTAGTATATTTTATTATGTTCAGCTCTGTGTACTGTATGAGTATATTTTATTATGTTCAGCTGTGTGTATTGTATGAGTATTTTTTATTATGTTCAGCTCTGGGTATTGTATGAGTATATTTTATTATGTTCAGCTCTGGGTATTGTATGAGTATATTTTATTATGTTCAACTATGTGTATTGTATGAGTATATTTTATTATGTTCAGCTCTGAGTATTGTATGAGTATATTTTATTATGTTCAGCTCTGTGTAATGTATGAGTATCTTTTATTATGTTCAGCTGTGTGTATTGTATGAGTATTTTTTATTATGTTCAGCTCTGGGTATTGTATGAGTATATTTTATTATGTTCAGCTCTGTGCATTGTATGAGTATCTATGTATTTTGCTTAACTCCATGTTGTGTTGGTATCTTACTGTTGTATGAGTTCTTTCTATTATAAGGGTATCTTTGTATTTTACCTAGCTTTGAGTATTGCATGGATATATCTATGTTATAAGTAGCTATCACCAGTGAAACACAAAGTCAAAAGGATCTACTTGAAATTATTTTGCAAAACACTCGGTATTAAAGCATTTAAACAAAATGACTTGGAATGGAATTTTTCCATTTTGGCTTTTTTTTTTTACCTTAAATTTGAAATTCAATTTGAATCCAACTTGAGTTCTCATTTTATTGAATAACAACCACCTATATGTCACTCAAACTGCATGTTTGATTTTCATAGTATGTAGGGATCTGACTAGCAGATTTAAAAGCTCTCTGGAACCTAATTTTACAGATTTCTACTTATTAAAACTGTTACCTGAATTATGACTCCTGGGACCCTTTTATGTGTTTCCTAAAAACATGTACAGTTGTGTTATTGGACATTACAGGTTAAAAGGTAGAAACAGAATAATATGTAAAGCTGAAAAAAAGGTGATGAGTGCACACAATAAAAGGAAATTGTTGCCTCATACATACATTCCTCTTGTTTTTGAATAACAAATATTTCCTATACAGAGATAAAAAAAAAAGCACAACATAGTGTAATCTGTATATATATTCTGTGAGTAGGTGTCAGAATTCAGACATAATATACACGGGTACCCTAACCAGCTAGATGGAAGTATTCAAAAAGTGGACAATGGAGCAGGTTTAAGAGGTATAACGCATCAAAACATTTATTTATTCTTGCAAATATTACATAAACTTGTGCATTAAAAAATAGCTCATTATATTGGTGCCTGAGGTGTCCCTTTAAGAAATTTACAGAAAGTCATCATACTCAATTTAAGGGTGTACAAAATCCTTATATTGCACACTTTTGCTAATTCAGCTATTTTACGTGTTTCGGTGAGTCAGCGATTTTAATGAGTACACCTTCCACTCAAACATTCACAGTTTTTTTTCCGTGGGCTATGAAGTGGAGGTGTTAATATTATGACATTTACTCATTGGATACCTCTCGAAGCAAGTGATTAATTAGAGCTTCACAATTCTTTTCTTAACTTCACTCAATAAATAATGTGATATTTAAAAATTGATCATGTTCCCTTAGAGAGATAATAAAATGTCACAACACTGATTAAAAAAAGAGGCACACAGAGTGAAACACTGAAGTTATTTGTACTTAATGTTGGGATCTCATCCTCAAATACATTAACATATTTTACTTTCCTTTTCTACTTTCCAACTGCCTACACAATGTTGTATGAGAACTTTAGGTTTAAGAAAGTAATGCATTTTACATAACTAGAGCTTCGAAAGATAAAACATTGCTAGGTTTTTCAGAGTTAGATTTCACGGTTCGTCTATAAAGCATGAATTTTAAAATGGAACTGTTGCTTCAACTATTGCTTCGATGATTTCTCCATTATGTCTTCTTAGCTCTATATTTAACATACAGACACTCCTCATATACCGACCGGTTTCCGTTCTTACAATTTGGTTGTAAAACGAATTGGTCGGTAAGTAAGAATGAGATACAGAGCATGCGCACCAGAGCAGGGAATCCCTCAAATCTACATTCAGGGGACATTCTGCGAACAAAGACCAGCTATTTAACATGGGGAATCCCTTGAATCTCCAGGAGAGAGCTGGTCGTAAATCCGAGCCGTTGTTAAACAGACCAGTCGTAATGTGAGGACTACCTGTATATGTATTTGTGGAGTGTGAAAATTTAAATTAAATGTCGATATTTGTTTCTCTTTAATGTTGCTAACGGGCGCCTCTGTCTTAGTGTTCTTTATTTTTATAAACTCTGTCCTTTGCACCAGGCAATCAATAAACAGAGAAACGATACAGAGAAGAGAAAAGCTTAAATAATGTTTCCTTTTCATTTGCAGTGTTTGCCCTGGCTTTGCCTTGACGGAACTGGATTGTGATGTCATTTGAGATTTGATAACTCTTAAATATAATTTTAAAATAAAACAAAACATCTTATGAAAAAGGTTAACAGAATTTATAGCTGATTTTCAATGTTTTATGATGTGGTGTAAATTCAAGATATAGTTCCCCTTTAAGCTGATGGTTAATAAATTGCATGGAATAACATTGGAGATTTTTTTATCTTGAGATTTTATAATTATTATTTTATGTAATATTAAGTATTATATTGGTGTTTCATTTGCTTATATAAATTGATAAATTTTCGCCTTGTTTTTCTACAGTACATATGTTTTTTTTTTTATTTGTACCTTAAAATTAATTTTTTTCCTTAAACTTAATACCCGCAACCAATATTCTGAGATGATACATTCATAATACGTGCCAATCTTTTTACTTTACCACTCTGACAGGCCAGAAAGGAAATCTGACCAACCAATGTGCGAGGAACACGAAGATGAGAAAATTAATATATATTGTCTGAACTGTGAAGTGCCAACTTGTTCCATGTGCAAAGTCTTCGGAGTTCACCAGAACTGCCAGGTTGCTCCACTTTCTCAAGTTTTCCAAGGACAAAAGGTGATTTTTTGCATTTTCTTTCAAGTATATTTTGATGCTTTGTCATATAATTCTATAGACCCTTTAATACCAGATGGATGCATACTCCTTTGGTATGTGTTAGTATGTGTTAGTACCCCAATGGCCCTGAAATCCTTCAGATCTATTACTTTGCTTATTAAGGACCAAATTGTTACATTTGGCTGTTGTGATGGAGCTCCTGTTCTCTGACTGAGTACCTCCTCTCAGTTAGCTTCCTAGAGGCTTGCCAGGACCCTGAAGCACTTCAGCCCTAGGCTTGGCTTAACTGGGGTCTCTCTGGAGCTTTTCCACAGGACCAGGCTCTAGCTCTCCTTCCAGGCAGGTATCGTCCCCTCTGACTATTCCACCGCAACCATTCTTCCAGGCTTGTATCATCCCCTCTGACTATTCCGCTGCATCCCTTCTTCCATGCAGGTATTGTCCCCTCTGCTGCTGCTATGCAGGTATCCACCTCTCCCTGCAATGTGATTGCTCTTGCGTCTCTCAGTTTTAGCTCTCTTGAGTTATCTCAGGGCTAGCAGAATCTTGCAACCAGCCAACAGGTAACACAACTTTATGGCTGGGATCCCTAAAGATTCACACAGAACACAGCTTTATTTTTACTTGGGACTTATTACATATAGATTACTGTGACAACGCAATAAAAATACAAACAATCAAATCACATTAGACAACATACAGAAACTTATAATAACATGACATGTTTATAACGGGGTGGGGAAGACAATAATTAACACAAAACATCTCTCCTGCCTGCAGAATTAGCAATATGCAAATCTACCTGATTATGCAAATTAACAAGCTTGTTATTCAGGTAGTGTATATTGCTGTTGCTACCAACAGAGGGTGCTCTACAGGCTCCATAGCCAAATCCACCTAGTTGGCAGCAACCATCAGCAGGACAGGAGATCACACAAAACAATTAACAATAGACAAATACATATACACACTCTGAACCTATAGTGGACACAGGGTGATTTAGACATAGGAGTAGTGATGTCCCGAACGGTTTCTCGAATGGTTCGCCGCGGACTCATCATTGAGTAAACTTTGACCCTGTACCTTACAGTCAGCAGACACATTCCAGCCAATCAGCAGCAGACCCTCCCTCCCACACCCTCCCACCTCCTGGACAGCTCACTAAGAATGCAACTTCAAAATGGATGCTGTCCAGGAGGTGGGAGGGTCTGGGAGGGAGGGTCTGCTGCTGATTGGCTGGAATGTGTCTGCTGACTGTGAGGTACAGGGTCAAAGTTTACTTAATGATGAGTCTGTGGCGAACCGTTCGTGGCAAACCGTTCGCGAACCATTCGGCGAACCGTTCGGGACATCACTGCATAGGAGTAGTCCAGGATCCTACATAAAGTGTTCGTCTGAAACTCTTGGGGATGGTGACTACTGTCACAGCAGTCATTATACTTTGGTCAATGAAGATTAAATTCCAACAAAGAATTGTTTGTTATTTATGGATAACATTTTAAAAGGATATAATATTTTGAAAACTATTTTAACATTTTAAAATATTGATAATTTTTGTTCATATATGATATATGTTTGATATTTTAATATTTTGAAGAAAAAAAGGCATTTTAACATGTATTCAAATATATTAAATCAAGGCCTTAAGTTTATTGTTGGATCCTAAGTGTCTGATAGTGATTATCCCTTTTGGCTTTAAGGGTTAAATAGCCTCAGAAAATGAGATTTGTTGCCTGGCTTACTTTGTATCAGAAGAAATGCAAAACATGCCACTAATATAATTAAAAGTAAAATCTAAAGCTAGAGCAAAATCCAAACACTTTGAAGAAAATAACATGATTTGTTCTGTGCATCCTTTACATTACATGTTCTTTTTTTATTTTATAATGTGAGCCAGAGAAACTAGCATTCGACATTTTCGTTATTAAGAAATGATTAAAAAGCCACATTCATTTATCTAATTACCTAATATGATAATTACCGGTACTTTAATTAGGATTTTAGCTCCAGTTCTTTGTAACTATTTGTTTAATACCATCCATTTACCAATCTATTAATCCATTTAACAATTAAGACTTCATCAGCACTCTAAACCTCCCCTCAACCTTTTACATTGACGATCGGGTTTGAGATGAAAGTGCAGTCCAATTATAATTTTAGTTTTGTTTTAGTTTTTTTCCATTCTACTTATGTTTTCCATTTAATATATATCTACAAATTAAAATATCTTCCTGTTTCTTTGATCAGTACAGATAAGCACATTTTTAATTATTCCAGGGAAGGATTCCAATGTATATTTTTCCATGATCTGAGCTTGACATGAAAAAGCAGGATTGTAATTAATATTTATTAACCATAGAAGCATTAAAATATATTTGGTATAAATTATGCAGTTACCCGGAAATCGATTATTTGTGTTGGAAGCTACTCATTTATTTTGTGAAATTTTCACTGTGCTCCTATCAGTGGTGGAACTACCAGAGGTTTGGCCATACCGGGACACACAAGCTGGGAGGCCCATCAGGTGGCCCACACACCTAGCGCTACCCAGTGGGCATGTCTGACCCTTTAACTGCATGACTGAATCCCTATCAATCAGCAGTTTCACCACAGAGCTTGAAGGAAGTTATTTCAGGTAACTTCCTCCAGGTTACAGAGAAACATATGGGGAGGCAGGGGGAGGGTGGTCCAGCCATGCTGGTGCTTTAATATTTATATGAGTGAGCACTGTACATGGAAATACCAACACAACAATCAAATACACCCCCTACAATCGAACATCATCACTAAATACAAACACATTCCTGTATTGAAATACCAGCACTACAGACAAACACACCCCTGTAATCAAATGCCAACACTACATATAAATTCATCCCTGTATTAAAATGCCAACATTATATACAAATACACACAGCATTGAAACGCCAACACTACACCCAAACACACACCTGCATTCAAACGCAAACACCGCACACAAATACATCACTGCATTCAAATCTCAACAGTACAAACAAACACACATGACATTCAAATGCCAACACTACACAAACATACACATACTCCATATAAAAACATGCTTAGATTCAAACACACAAACACTGCTCACATATACAACTGTGTAAGAATGGGCATATGCTAGATCCCCAGCTGACAAAGCAAATTTGAGTTGTACAACATATTGGATCTATCTTGCTTACTTTTGGGGGTAGGCTTAAAAATTCTTGCAGCAGTAGCCTCTCTACATTAGTTCCACCACTGGTTCCCATATCTGGGCTGTTGTTTTGTTAATACAGTACAACATATAAAAAGGAGCACACTCAATAGGAATTAAGTAATCTTTCATTAATATATAAAGCTAGCAATATACAAAAATACAGATATACTATAACTCACAGTGCACCATAACCCAGAAATATCACATCACAAAAATCAAAAACCAAAAAAATGATTAAAAAAACAGAATAACGCAAAAGAGACCTACAATGCAACATATATAATAAAAAAAATGACAAAACACATGAATAGATGATAAAAGCGGATTACATACCAGAAACTGACACACCAGAAAATGAAGGTGAGAGGCTGGAAGCTCTTCCTTGGTAAAACATAAATGTAAAACAGAATAAAACAATATAGTGAACACCATACAACACTCAGTAAATACCATTCTCACATTTATTGAGTAGCTGAGCTACTCAATGTATTCAGCATAGGTGGCATTTGCCCTTTACCAAAGATTAGATGTGTTGAGATGTGCAGTGGAATATTTCTCAGATGTTGTCAGGATTAGCAATACATGCTAAAAACAATTAAAAAAAAGTATGTGGCCAAATCACATAAGAATGGGGATGATACCACACCAGAAACAGAGTTTGAGATGAAAGCTCTTCCATTGTGAGTCAATTTTCTATTTTTCTAGTACTCACCTTATAGTGACAGTATTACTGTACCTCTACCACTTATCATCACTAAGGCTATGTAAGAAACATATATATCCATAAGTGGGGATTATACTAATGCATGCAATTTATACTGGAGCTGGTTCTGACGCTCCTTAATATGTGAGTGGGCACTTATACACTTTTATGTTGTATGTCCTCAACGTATCAAGAAATACTCCACAATTGGTTCTCCTCTCTATTATCTTTTTATCTTTACGTACCCAGTGCAATACCTACCAGCTATATAAGAAGCCAGATGGACTGGCAGCAAGTGAAAAATCTTGGACTGTGTTCCAATCGCATTTTATTACTTGTATATCATTAGGCACAGCCTGTTGTGTTTTATTGTTTGTCTGTTCGTTTTTTTGAGGGAGTCCCCAATTTTGAGTGCCTGCCTTTAAATAATCTGTTGTTTAATTTGTATAGTTCCTATCCTTCCTTTCGTTTCTGTTCACCCATATTATGAAGTTGTTATAGTGCCTACAGCTTTTCTTTACAGCTCACTCTTGAATAATACTATTTGTAACAAACTTCAGGGAATAGAATAAAATATTGTTGTGTATTTTGTTGTTGCCACATAATGGGGTACTCCATATATTTACCCAAAATATTTGAGCCCCCTCCCCAATCTCTGATGTCATGTAGGACTGCTGATTATTGGTTTGTTAAGTAGAATAATTTGTGTCTTTTTATGTACTTTACATTTCATTAAATTATTTATTTCAGTAAATAAGTTTGGTTTCTGTAACAACAATTTTATTTTTTGACGCCGCTCCTAATTCTTAGTTATTTCTGAGGGTAATGCTTTAAAATGTAAGCACCTGCTTTTGATATCACAAGTTCTCCTTCATTTCAGACAGCAAGTGTGTGCTGATGGGCCTGTCTAGGCAGACTGGATGAACTCCAGGAATGAATGTTAATGACATATTAAGATCTGGGATAGACAAACGCTGGAATTCCAGCAGCTCTGCATTGAGCTCCAAATCAGATGGCGTGGTGATTGTTGCCTATTCAGTTTTGACTATTCTTTTTTCTGGCAAGCATTTGTTTCTTCCAGCAAAAGGTGCCATAGTGAATAGTCACTAAACCTTTAAATATTCTGGGTGACAGGATAGCTGTTGAAAAATGGAGAAATATTGAGAAATATAGTATCATGCAGTAATGTGCCTATAATATACAGTAGTCGAGGATTGTCTCTTTGTGGCCAGAAATCACACGCAGAACCCCTGCTGTTCCCTTAAATCTTAGATGGCTGGGAGCCCAAGAAAACCAGATGGGTTATAACATGCAGAGAAGCTAAATTGGGACTTGGAAGATGTATGTAGCACATTCCAAACTGCTAAAGATAAACTCGGAGTCCCCTTGAGCTTTGAGGATTTAGTAGCATATTTACTATTAGGTGAGAGGTTGGAGAGTTACAACTAATGATATTCTATAGAACCAATTTATCTTTTTCAGAGAATAAAACACTTCACAGATGATTTCCCTTTGCGTCATTCATATCTCTGTAAACCTACCTATTTGATTTGTCTCTACCCAATACAATGGGTACAGGGGAGTACTGGCAACTTTTTTTTTGTGCTCTAAATACAATTTACAGGAAACATCTCGATGTTATTATTATCATTAAAAAAAAAACATATTTAAAGAACACAACCATATCAGTAAGATAGGCTGTGTGTACCCCCTCATATCGGTCACCATCCATGGTGCGATACCACTAGCACCTAACATCTGTATCTCTTTTAAAATCACTTTATTCAGTAAAAGGAGTAAAGTTGTATCTGTCTTTTCTCAGGTAAACCACCGGCTATTCATATTGTGTTTACCGCTAAAATATCGATATTGATTAGAGCAGCAATCCACATCATCTAGAACGCCAGTAGGATTACCACTTTTGCCAATAAATGAAAAGCAATAATTTTTTTTTCCCACTTAGCGTTAATCATGCAGTAACTTATGTGTTTTTAATTGTCAGTCCGAGATCTCTGAAGGGATTGCTGTGCTGGTTGGATGCAACGACAGGATTCAAGCAGTAATAGGCCAATTGGAAGAGACATGCAAAGCCGTAGAGGTATGTGTGATGCACTAGTGAAAACCTATATGGGTTACTTTTTTTTTTTTTAAATGAATGACCATGTTTTATAATTGAAATGATGGCTTCTAATTTTATCAACATTTTGTTTTTGTTTTTTTCTTTTTATTAGTAGTTTTACAATTGAAACAAAATATTTAATTGTATTAATATTATTTCGATTTCTCTCAATACCACAATATAATGAATATGTAATATAAAATGAAAGGAACACTCCAAGTACCATAACCACTATAGTGAAATGGCTATGGTGCCAGGAATGATCTGGTGCTCCATCAAATTGTAGATTGTAGAACTTTAGAGGAGTTTAACCCCGGCTGCCACTCCCCACCTCCACAATATCCATTTGAAGTAGGAGGCCTACTACCCAAATTCTACCTCTTCAGCCATTTAACCCTTATTACAAATGAAGAAATCTGAGTAAACCTTTTTAAAATGGTCCTTTAGTCTGCTGATAGTAGCAACGTTTAGTAAAACAAAATACATAAAAATATTTTAGGGGTTGTCAGTACTACCATTAAAAACAAAACTGGACCCAGTAGTGCAAAGGTAGGCTCCTACTAAGCCAGGACAGTTGTGAACTATGCCTTTAGACCATGTTCTTTGTTATTGTGAAATTCTGAGCATGCCACTCGTAATTAAGGGTTAATACTTTTTGAGCTTTGGAATTCCTGGGATGTACTTAAGACATGGAATATAACTACCTGCCAGCAGACACATTTAAAAGTTAGTATTTAATCACTTTTCCATAAATGTATTTCATTCTGAAGATTAGACTCACAACACTTAAATATATAGTTTTGCACTATAACCCCAAATAACACTGCAGTATCTGTTTCTGTTAATCAACATATTTTAGCTACTGGTGTTATAAACTTTAAGGAGCAAGAGACTCTGAAAGTGTGATGTCTAGGGCTGATTTTTTTGGGGGTAATATTATATATTTATCGCTATCCCATCCTAAATGTCAAGTCAAAACAGCATGTTTATAGAACTGATCAAATATCTGTTAAAGTGATTTTCTTGACACCATTTATCCATTGAAAATAAAACGAAAATTAGTTTTTCATTGTGAATGTATATATTATGATATAGCTGTATAAATTCTACTAGTAATAAAATTGTATTTACTTTATTTAATCTGTTGTAACAACCGTGTGTTCACTCAGAAACAGAACAAAATCTTTTTAAATCTCATAATCTGGTAGATGAACAGACTATTTGTAGTAAGCCTGCTGTTCACAAATCATGCGGCTGACAAGCTTCCATTCAGATAGGTGTGGATGTCTCCTGTACACTCTGCTAACAAAATCACCAGCTCATATACAAATTAAAGTGGAACTTTAAATCCCTATGGGTTCTACTAATTTATTTACTTATTTGTGATATAAAAAAAGTTTAATTGGAGTTATCCACACCTCTTTATCTTGTGATGGGCACTTACATCATAGCCCTCTGTCTATCATTGTTATAAGCTCTGTACTTTGCCCCAGGAAATCAGCATAAATCATATAGAAAAAAAGGAGAAATTAAACATTTATCTTTCTCTTCTTCATTTGCATTGTTTGCCCTGTCTGTGCCTTGTCTGAACTGGATGATGACGTAATGCTACATTTTTAATATATATTTAAATAAACTCTAATCTCAAGAACAAAAAAAGGGTTAGCACTAGTTATAGGTAGTTTTCAGTGTTTTATTCAATTAGGTAAATTCCATAGATGTGTCAGTTTCCCTTTAAATAATATACTCAGTTGACATTCACTTCCTCCACACATAACAATATGCCATCGACAATGAGTTGGTGTTTTTCTTCTTCCTTGTAATGAACAACTAATAGGATTAAACACCTCAATCAGGAATCTAAGTAAGGTACAGAGAGAACAAAATAGATGTTTATTAGGGTGTGACTGTGCCCAAGCCACACAACCTTAAAGCGGCACTGTCAACCCCACTGAAATTTCAACCCAATAAAGAGAAGTACAGCGACAAAGTAGGGACTGCTTGGTCTCAGTATATTTCCCCTGCCTGACTTTCTTAGACTCAGGGTAGAGCTACAGTGTCTATCCGACTGCCATCACCAGTGACGGCTGCAGGTAATTGGATCTGTCTATGGAGGATCCCATGGACTTGCGGGATCCTCCATAGATCTCAACTCTTGCCTGCTAGAGTAGATGGCTGTGCCCGTGAGAGTCAGGGTCAGGTAAGTAAATCTCACCTTACCTGCCCCCGTCACCATCGGGGATCTTTCGGCAAATTGGGCAAAGTCCCCACATGGTGACAGTGCCACTTAAAGCATACCTATTCCTGAATTGTTGTAAAAAAAAAAACATCTGGCATAACGCCAATATATAGCTTAATCTCATATATCTAATTTCCTCAATATATATTTTTCATCGCTTTTTATTGCGATTCAAAAATTTTATTGTATTTATTATATTGCGAAAATGTCAAACAAAATATCAAAATCAAAATGATTTTAGTTTTCTTTATGCACGTTTGATGAAGTTAGAATGATGGCTCTATAGGCTTAGTATGCGAATGTGATGTAAATTGGGATGAATAAAAAAATGTGAATTATTTTTACATGAATTTTTACATGCATGATGGTTTCACTGCTAAGAATTACCAGCACCTGTTTCCGTTGCTGATCTGTTGCTTGTGAATTTATAGGTTGTTTTTTTTTTTCACAGCATACATTATTATTGCTTTTCCTTCTTACAATTAAAAGTGACAAAACCAATTATGTTGCAACAATTCTTACAGTTCACTAATAAAAGGTCATAACTGAGTGTTCCATTCCCCACCGGTGTAAAGTTAACCAGGAAGTCACGGGAAGAAGTAATTACATTTAATACACTAAAATAGCTTCTTCTCATGGTCTATTACGGATCAACGATTCTAACATGCAATATGGGCAAATATTGAGATAATTATTATTTTAAAAGTTTAAAAAGTATGATGCATTATAGCACTATGTAAGCATATATAAACATATTCTTGTACTAATTAATATTCTGAGAGATAAGTGAAATTTCTTTTGCTTATGAATTGCGATTGAATAAAGGGCTAACAATATTTGCGACTTTATAAAATTAAAGGAGGCGGCATGTGACAACATAATAAGGTCCCTCAGTAAAGATGGTTATTGATGACAATGTGAAACTAGTTTAAGAAAAAAAAAATAATCACACACATTAGTTAAAAGGAGACTCCGGTTACCATAACAGCTTCATATAAATAAGGTTGTTATAGTGCCAGGAGGCTCCTGGCAGACTCTAAGGAGGCCCCTGTCAGACCCCAAAGGTTAACTCTAGCGCCGACCTCAAAGTCCACCAGGTGGAATCCCGCTTCTGAATCTGTGTTACAGGAAGCGCAGGGTGCTGCTGGGCAGGGGCACTGCTGACTGGCTCGAGCAGTCAGCTGACGCTCTAAGCCAATCAGTAGCTCCCCATTCATAAAAAAAAAAGTATGTAGGGGAGATTAATCCAGGCAAATTATATTATTATTAAATATATTATAATATATTATATATTCTTCTTATTCAGAACTCTATGATTTTTTTAAATATAATTTAGAGGAAGTGGAATCTTTCACAAATTCATGAAAATATAAATCTGCCTTTTTTAATTTTTTTTTAATTAAAATGCAAATTAATGTCGGTTTGATGTAAAAGTGTTGTAACTTTGTAAAATCAATGTTTTGCAGGATATACTTGAAAATGAAAGACATCTCAATGTATTTTTTCTAATGAAACTTTTCTAAAAGACATTTGTTTTTGCATTTTCCATAAATATCTGACACATATGCTTTATATTAACATTTAAGAGGATTTTCCCTATTTCTTTTGTATCAGTTTTATAATTACATATCCCTCTACCTAATGATTAATTCCTAATTTAAAAAAACAAAAACTCTGAATAAGACAGCTATATAACAACTCTTAAATACTGAATTACATATATGTGACATTTTTAATTTTATTTCCTATTAGTTTTGGGAGAGTACTTTTCACGTCTTTTCAATGAAAACTATATATACATAGAAGCAGCATTTCAATATATTTTTTTTCTAAAGTTCTGAAATGGATACAAAAACTTTGAAAAAAAATATATTTTTACTAGTTGTTCCATTGCCAAGAAATGTTGTCTTGTTTAGAGAAAAATCCAAACCACAGATGGAAGGTATCTGCAAAGTTTGCATTTGGCAGGTTAATCCCAGTAAATTTGCCAATTCTAGAAATGCTTAAAAATTATTCATGATATCTTATGTTCTTGTTATGAAAAAATATTTTCCATGAGAATATTGATCAAGGGAATTCTGCTTGGTCTTGTCGTGGGTGACATCTTGAAACTTAAACAGTAGAAGGAGCTTTCTCAAAGTACTCTGTAGGAATAAAACAATATATTAAAGTTTACTCTACTTTATACCATGGTAACATTATTACTGAGGAGTTTATATAGCTGGTTGACTTGTGTCGATCAAATTTGACATAATTATTGGTATAAAAACCCAATGGTTGACATTTGAGGTATTCACTAAAATTTAACCAGCTAACCTAAAATTTAGATTGAATGGTGTGAATTTTACTCAGTGGAGTTAATTGTTAGCTGTAAAAAAGGCTAGTTTACTGGAAACTGCTGCAATTATTGAATTTATTACAAGACATAGAGGTTCATATTATGCAAGTTTAAAGCTGATAAATAACTAAATGAGGAAAATACACATTTATGGTTTAAAATAAAATACCTTGAAATATGACTTTCTAACCCAAACAGCAGACCTTAAAATGTCTTCAAGACTACACTATACAGGAAGAACTTTAGATGCCATCACTCCTACAACAGATTAGAGCCATTTAATCTATCTTGCTAGTGTAGACGTTTGCCTCATTCCAGACTTGCCTCTAAGAGTGACAGTTGCCTTGCAGTACTTCATGTATGGGACAGGGCATAAATTGGGTCTGAGAAAGGAAGGTAGATACAAGACTGAGTTGGAAATATCGAACCATACCCTTCTGGAGTGAAGGGTTGCATCAAAACATCTTAGACTCTAATCATTTTATCGAAAATTAAATTACAGGGCTGACATAACAAGTTTGGAGCAGCGTTGATGGAGGGATACAGGTTGATAGATGGCCAATTGTCAAGAAAGGGTAGAAGACACTTGACATCCCAAGTAAATGTGTATCTATGTATAGATAACTTAACTCATTTCATTAGACAAGAAACTAGAGTGTGATGATCCACCTTAATGCCTTTCAGATCGAGCCATCATATGCAGCTGTAAGGATGAGAAAGTCCACCAACATCTCCAGTAGAAAAACTTGTCATGGGTGCTCAATAATAATGAGAAGGAGAGGTAAAGGTCTAGGATAGGGGCTTAACAAATGTGGTTCAAAATCACCTGGTGATTTATGCAAATAAAACTTATTAAAACTAATTGAAGGGAATTCCCCTTCGATAAAATGGAGGTGGTGACCTAAAAACAATCATATGCATGTAGAAGAACTGGCAAAATAGCTGCCACAAGGACTTGATGAGAAGAGGACAAGAAGTCCATCAGTCAGAAGAAAAATCCGGTAAACAAAATATTAGATTTCATAAACCAACAAGCAGAAAACAGGGAAACACAAAGGAGAAAGAATGGTGGCAAAAATAATTATGAGGGCAAATACAAACCAAGAGAAGAATAGAAGAGACAAATAAGCCGCAATAAGAAAAAAAAGAAATGAAACGGAATAAAAATAAATATAAAAGAAGAGAAATGAACAACAAAATAATTATATAAATTAATATAGTCAAATGAAGCAGACCAAAGCACTGGAATAGACAATAAATTATTATTTATCTAGCACCAACAAATTTCTCAGCACTGTACAACAAACAAATATTTGCAACAAGACAGGTTGGACGCACAGGAACAGAGGTTACATTCTAGAGGCAATGGAGCAAAGTGACACAAGAGATAAGCCGTGTACAACAGACACATTTTTGCAACAAGAAGAGCTGGACGCACAGGAACAGAGGTACGGGAAAGATGCTATTAATTGGAATGCTTTCCTAAGTAAGTGAGTTTTCAATTCTTTTTTAAAGGAATGGAGACTGGGTGAGAGTCGAACAGAGTAGGGAAGGGTGTTTTAAAGGAACAGTGCCCTAGAGAAGTCTTGAAGGTAGACATCAGAGGTTTAAGCATGAACAGAGGATAGAGGCAGATGGAGGAGCAGCAAAGAAAGAGGAATGATAAGGGTTACTGTGCCGATTTATATGCTGGAACAACAGTGAAAAGCCTAGGGTTCCTATATGAAATAGTCCAGCAATTTGCAGTTTTGGGCGATTTTGGTTCTTTCACATGTTTTCTCTTTACAGATGAGGTCCAGTAAAGAGATAGGTAAACATAGTAAGAGTTTTTTTGTCTTGTAATAAAATTGTGGTTTTGTTCTTTCAGTTGCAGAAACGGGTATGTACGAAAGGTTGAACTTGTTGAACTACATACTGTTTTTGCAATCTATATTACTATATATTTATTAGATTAATATTAATTTGAATACCCACCAATATAATGCTTATTTATTTATTTACTTTGGTGAAATGCAGCATGTCTTGGTATCATTCCCCTCATATTCTTTCCCATTGCACAACCTAATTTATCTACTCAGTCATTCTTCCTCATATTTCGTGCCCTGGTGACCTATTGTGAGGTTTAACATCGTCCTTTTAAACTGAATTTGTGTTTGTACTTGCTCATGAGCAGGCTTCAGTAAGAAACAGCAGCTTAAAGAAGCATTGATTTTCCATAAAAAATAGTAAATGCATGTAAATACCTTCAATGTCAGCCAGTCTTCCCTTCAAGCTGTCCCACTGTACCGGGTGTTTATTTTTCCAAGTATAATGTCAATATATTTATTATTAATGCATAAAGTTGGTTCATAGTTTTGTGCGAAAACAGCTGCATTGGGATTGCTTGCAGGACCCTATAATAAAACTTCCCTCTAGGATGTTCTATTAATAGTTTCTAAATGTGCAACTCTAATTCTAGATATTCCCTAGCACTTCCAAATGTCAGATACAACACCACTGCATTTGCTAAAAGGAAGTATCAGATGCCACAATTTAAAGTTTTATTTAATTGAATGAATTTACATCATTTTCTAAGTGGGCACAGACATTGCATATCTATGATAATTTATACCTTATATTAGGTATAACAAAACAAAAAAACAAAACAACAAAACAATGAATTATTAAACAACGCAAACAATAGAAAATGAATAAGATACAAAATAGAAATTGGAAAAGTTCATCACTGATATATATGCAATAAATAAAATATTCAACAATATCTACATCCACCTTAAATATATATATATATTTCTGTCTTTAAACTAAACCTTAAACAAATGTTTTACATCATTTATTGGGAATACGTGATGTAGAAGAGTTTGGGAAAAGGTTTGTTTGGTACCTGATTAAGGTGAATTTGCTTGAAACATTGTACTTCACGTATTTCCAATAACTGATGTAAAACTCTGTTACGAACGGTTAAATAATGGGTGCTTGCAGAGTGTGTTTAAGATGTAAACCTTTTTTAACAGCTGGATATCTGGTATATAACTCAATATTCAGATTTTTCTGATTATTAAATCTATTTTATTGTGTTCACGTTCTATTAGTCTGTTACGTTGTCCTCACACTCTTGGTATTTCCATCTGCTGATAATTCTCTACTCATTTAAAAGAACACTATGTGCCTTACACTTGATTTTATTCAGAATAGCAGAAATTTTAGAAATAAAATAATTGATGAAGACATGGTTACAATAAAGGGATTCTATAGTGTATGGAATAAAAAGTTGTACTTCTTACACTATAGTTCCCTCTGCTCCTCCTTCTCCCCCACCCAGCATTGAAAGGGTTAAAACCCCCTTCTAACACTTACCTGATTTCAGCTCTGCCGACTCTGATGTTATCTGACAGGTATGACGGCTAATGCGCATGAGCACTGAACGCCGTGAGCACATTAGGCCCTCTCCATAGGAAAGCATTGCTGTAATGCTTTCCTATGTGGATTTTACTATGCTGGATGTCCTCATGAACCAAAAGTCGCCTAGCAAGCAGGAAGTGTCTCTAGTGGCTGTCTGATTGACAGCCACTACTGGCAGTCTTAGTACTGCAATGTGATTATTGCAATTTCTCCAAAATTGCAATGTCTTACATTGCAGGACAAAGGAGGACAGGTACACTGCACTTAGACAACTTTAATGAGCTAAAGTGGTCTCGGTGCCTATTGGGTCCCTTAAGCAAAAGGAGTATGGAAGCCACAAAATGTAAATAATTTATATATTTGTATAATATAGCATAGTATATATACAATTACATTTTTGAGAAGCAGTGTTAGTGGAATAACCTGAAAACCTCCTAAAAAATAGATTATAATGGAGAAATACATCAAGCAAAGTTCATATGGTTATGGTGTTTTCGAGATGCAAGGGCAGTTTGATAGAATATTTCTGAGCGAGGGATGAACGTTGAGAGAGGTGGAGAGTCTATCATCATGCGTAGAATGGCGATGGTAAATAGTGGAATATTCAGTGATAGGACAGAGATGTAAAATTTAGCATATTTGTCTCAACTCTTTTGGTGGATTAGCAATTAAAATACAGGCTCATTTATCCCTCCTTCCATATTCAACTTTTCTCACTCTATATTACTTATCCGCAGTTATAATAAATATAAGCGGGTTGATCTCCTAATAAACTGATACACTTCATTCTACAAACTACCGGTATGCGTTTTTAAAATCTAAGCAATAAAAAGGAAGATTGGAATAAATTAGCTTTATATTGATAACCATTCATAGTCATGGAACTGTCATGAACTGCATAACCCATAATGTTAAGACTATCTGCAGGCATAACATTAAAACAATAATGGTCCACAACAGTTGCAGTTCAAATTTCTATCACTGGTAAATAAAAATTATATAAATAATATCAAATAACCTGTCCGCATAGTGTCCTGTTGCCATTACTTCTTGGACTCATGGAAACTAGTAAAAAAAGAAGCAGATTATTACATGACATTTACAGATCGGAGTGTCTGGACACCATCATTTATTTTCCTGTCCGACTCCCTCACAGGTCTGTTCCTTCAAACTGCTTAAGGCCAATCCGTCACCAGCTAAATCACGATTAAATCCATGATTCCAATTACTAGTCTACCTAAGTCATTAATTATTCCTTTACAATCTGCCAGATTTGGCTGAAGCTATCAGAAATTATTCTAGCCCCCTCTCTACCTTATTTTATCCCCTTGATGAAAAATAACAAAAAGCAATTGGTGTAACATTTTAGTTAAGTGCCTAAAACCATTACTTTAACAGTGAACAGTTTTTAAAGTAACACTAATCCGTAAATTGATACAGGAAACAATAAAAAAAATGTGTAGAAGTTGATTTTTACACTTTGACGAATATTTTTGAAAGTGTCAATGCATTACTAAAATAGACTAGGCAGTTGGAACCATGAGACATGGGGTTAACTATGAAATATTACCAGCATTGAATTGTGGTGAAGATTTTCTCTCAAGATGGTCTCAGGTGAGCCTTTAATTTTAATATATAACATTGCAGAACTAAGTTTTGTTTGTTTTTTTAAATAAATTTTGTTGTATCTAAATTTTTGTACATTTTCTACTTCTTAAAGGGTTACTCTACCAACTTCGCATTCGCATTCGCATTACGCAAGTGGTTATGGGGCAAAGACCCTGTCCGTGCATCCTATTTTTTTTACTGAAGCATAAAAGACAATACATTCCAAGAAGAGAATGTACACAGTAGAACAATATGTCTCCGGTAACATAAAGCAAAATATATTGCATTATACAGATGGACATTCTCTCATTTTATATTATGTAAACTGTTGAGCAAAGTGTCTCAAAAGCAATGTTAGAATAAACTATTACTGCTATTATTAACCTGCCTTATGAGATAAAGTGTAAAGACAATGGTAAGATATTAGACTCACAGAGGTACCATATTAACTAACCATAAGCAGAATTAATTAAGGTATTTAGTGAGCGCTGGATTGCCAAATTACAGGAGAAAATTGCTACTGGATAGCATGAGTTTGCTACAACTAATATTCTATATGAGCATATGAATAAAATATAATAATAAACATAACTGGAATTATTCACAAAGAAATCAAAAAATATATATTTTGCTGTATAGAGTGTCTGCAGTCCACTCAGCCAAAACCTCTGGAGGGATAGCCAGTTCCACCAGGAAACTGGAGTCCAGCTAATCCGTTAAAGTTCGGATGGTCGCCCCACCAGCCCCAAGCCATAAAACATTTCAGTACGGTGCTCCCTGAAATCCAGCAGCGTCCGGCATCTGGATATGGTACTCGAGATCTTCCTGTATCACACACCCACTGATGTGGAGCTGGAACCTTCCAGGGCAAGCCATAGGTGTGGATATGGCCTCAGTTGGTTTGCAGCCTAGGCAAGCGGAGACGAAGCTCAATGAAGAATTTTCAAAGAGTTGTCATTAATGGTAAATTTTCAAGCTGGGCAGAGGTGGCAAGTGGTGTCCCTCAGGGGTCTGTTCTGGGACCCCTTCTATTTAACATGTTTATAAATGATCTTGAAGACAGCATTGAAAGTCATGTTTCAGTGTATGCAGATGACACAAAACTTTGTAAAATAATACAATGTGAGCAAGATATTACTTTGCTGCAGAGGGATTTAGATAGACTGAGGGACTGGGCACTCAAATGGCAGATGAAATTTAATGTTGAAAAATGCAAAGTAATGCACTTCGGAGTAAAGAATACCCTTAATGGAAGCAAATTAGGGATAACAACACACGAAAAGGACTTGGGAATTGTTATAGTCAACAAACTATGCAACAATGTGCAATGTCAATCAGCAGTGGCCAAGGCCAGTAAGGTATTGTCATGCATGAAAAAGGGCATTCATTCTCGGGACAAGAATATAATTTTGCCTCTTTTATAAATCACTGGTAAGACCACATATTGAATATGCTGTGCAATTTTGGGCACCTGTTCTAAAGAAGGATATTATGGCACTAGAAAAAGTGCAGAGGCAGGCTACAAAATTAATAAAAGGAATGGAACATATCAGCTATGAAGAAAGGTTAACAAATTTAAACCTATTAAAGGACCACTATAGTACCAGGAAAACATACTCATTTTCCTGGCACTAAAGTGCCTTAAGGGTGCCCTCACCCTCAGGGTCCCCCTCCCGCCCGGCTCTGGGGAGAGGAAAGGGTTAAACTTACCTTTTTTCCAGTGCCGGGCGGGGAGCTCTCCTCCTCCAATCCTCCTCCTCTCCTCCCTTTTGGCTGAATGCGCACGCGCGGCAAGAGCTGCGCGCGCATTCAGCCGGTCTCATAGGAAAGCATTTACAATGCTTTCCTATGGACGCTTGCGTGTTCTCACTGTGATTTTCACAGTGAGAATCACGCAAGCGCCTCTAGCGGCTGTCAATGAGACAGCCACTAGAGGATTTGCAGGCTGGATTAACCCTATTCTAAACATAGCAGTTTCCCTTTTTTATAAAAAAAAAGGGTTAATCCTAGAGGGACCTGGCACCCAGACCACTTCATTAAGCTGAAGTGGTCTGGGTGCCTAGAGTGGTCCTTTAAGTTTAGAAAAACGTCGCCTGAGAGGGGATATGATAACATTATACATATATATTCGGGGCCAATACAAACCATTGTGTGGAAATCTATTCACAAACCAGACTTTACATAGGACACAAGGCCATGCGTTTAGACTGGAAGAAAGAAGATTTTGTCTAAGGCAAAGGAAAGGGTTTTTTTCACTGTAAGAATAATCAGGATGTGGAATTCTCTGTCTGAAGAAGTGGTTTTATCAGAGTCCATACAGATGTTTAAACAGCTACTAGATGCATTCTTGCAAAAACAGAATATTCAAGGATATAATCTTTCAATGTAGGGTAATAACTGCTTGATCCAAGGATGAATCTGACTGCCATTCTGGGGTAAAGAAGGAATTTTTTCCTAGCTTGTTGCAAAGGTGTGCTTCAAACTGGGGTTTTTTGCCTTCTTTTGGATCAACAGCAAAAAACAAATGTGAGGAAGGCTGAACTTGATGGACGCAAGTCTCTTTTCAGCTATGTAACTATGTAATATATAGCCAATCACCATTCTGATGGGCACATACAAAAGAGTGCTTAAAATGTCACTTGAAATAATACAGTAACAAAGTATTATTTTCTTTACATGAATCCCTAAATCTCAACCCTATGAGAGGCTTTGGACTGGAAGCATTGACTGTACAATGCTCAGTACAAACAAGGAAGTAAATGCTGGGCGCTTGTTTGCACATATTTTAGTAAATGCATACTGTTTTTTACAACAATAAATTATTATATTTAAAAAAAATATGCATTTTTAGACATCAAGTTTCCTTTTAATAAAAGGCCCCACTGATATCTATTAATTGGAAGAGAATATGCCACAGTAGCTACCCTAATCCACCCCTATCACTAATGCTAAACACTGACTTCTACTTTGTAGCTAACTGTACTCTAAATTTAAATTTATATCACTCACAAAAAAATTAAATGGCCTGCTTGACTGGATAGTGTACAGCACGGGAGTTCAGCGTCTTCACGCTCTGTGTGGAAACCCTGAACATTACCGATAGAAATGCATTGATTCTATAAGGAGATTGGTGCAGCACACCATTTTGCCATGCATGAGCGACAGCTTCTCAATGCTTTCCTATGAGAAAGAATTGAATTGGCTAAGATCATCAAGATAGATGATCTCAGCCACGGGGGCAGGGCCAGTGCAGCAAGGGAAAAAAGGTGAGTAAAATCACCCTTTTCAGAGTGATCTATGGGACCAGGCACTTAAACAGCCACATAGGCACTATATAGTCATGTCTGTATTCCTGACACTATTGTTTTCCTTTAATCATTTAGATCTTATTCTCTATGGGTGTGATGGTCCCTGCAAAGAATATTACGGGTGGGAGGAACGTTGTTGCTGCTATAACTTCATTACTCAATTTGCATATCCAACTATTTCCATTTCCACTTTATTCTTTTACCAAAAATTCTGCTGTACACACACTGTGTTCTTTGTTTGTGTGAATCTGGACTGGTTAGCCATTCCCCATCTCTTTCCACCCACTATACTGAGTGCATTGCAGGCACTGCTGTTTTACTGTGATAGATATTTGGCAAATGTTCACTCCAGGTTTCATGCTGTGTGGTTTTAACATAAGACAGAGATCTCTCAGAGTGTCACACGTGGGAATTCTTGGTGCATGGATGGAAATGACAAGTGATTTACCATGCACAACACATCCCCCACCTAGACAATTAAGGAAATCTGTTCTAGAAATAAGACCAGGGATAAGCTACCTCCATTTCCCCTGTTGCTCTTTAGAGGTCCCTGAAATAGATTTTAATAATGTATCAGTAGAGCATACAGATGTATGTGTACATTGTTCTAGTAGAACGTATTGAATCATGTAATAGTAAAAAATGTGATTTAAAGATTCTTATTCTGCTCAATATTGTAAGTCGCTATGCAGCTTTGAAATTATAAATAATTTAATTTAATGACAGTAGGTGCAACAGTTGATCCTTACTCTTAGGTTTCCATCAGGGCTCAGTAACACCACCCTCCCCCCACCTATAATTCTCAGTTAACTCACAGAATCCAGAATTGACAGCACTGCGAGATTATCATTAGATTTATTCCCCAAACTCAAAATTATACCAGACTTAAACCTGAATGAAAAAAATTGAATTTTGAATATCTGATCTGGAAAAACTCTCCAACTCAACTATAGTCCCAGCTTGGCTACTTTAGCCTAAAATTTGCATTGCTTAAATCTAGTAGATTTTGGAGTTTAGTTAAAACCCTACGTGATTGTCATAGTCCACGGTGGCTGGAGAGTGAGATTATCATGGGAGACGTAGTCCATGGCATCTGTTGAGTTAAAGCAGCATGGGAGTAAGAGTCGTGACTGCTGAAACGCTATAGCACACCAGGTGTCATAATACACAAGAGGCCAGAACAGAACTGCTTGTGTATATATATATATATATATAATGCTTAGTAACAGCTGCTGGACGTCTGCAGCATTATCAGAGTCACAGTCCACAGAAGCTCACGTGCTAGAACATCACAGAAGTGTTAGCTCAAGGAGTTTGAAACCACAACGGGAGTCAGTCCACTGCAGTTAGAATGCTAGAGATTAATGAGAGTCAGAGTCCATGGCAGCTGGAGCACTACAGCACAATGCAAGTGATAGGACACAACAGTTAGACTGTTATACCATCATGGGGGTAATAGTGCACAGCAGATATGGTTTGATATCCATAGCAGATACAAGGCTTGGGAACTATGCAAATTGTGATGCTCAGAGTACAAGAGCATCATGGGAATCCACAGCCACTGGAGTGGGAAGTTACTTATTATTATTAGTATTTATATAGCAGCAATATTTTCCCAGTGATTTACACAGAACACTTTAACATCAAGTAATTGACATACAATATAATATTGATAGAGACATTGGACTCACTACGTGCTTGAAGAGAAACTCTCACTATGATTTAGTGCACAAGGTACTATGATCAATCCCAAATATATTCTTACACTCTTACACCAGCCGCTCGTGATGTGCAGTATAACGTACTTATGACAGTGACATACCATTTCCACCCACACACATTTGTCCCAAAGGATTAAATCTAAACTAATCTAAGCTTAAGAAATGTTGTATAATTGAGCAGAAACATATCTGCTAAACATTTGGCCCTCTGTTTCATCAAGTCATGAGTGAGAACAGGTGATTATCCCTTGGAGGAGCTAGTATGCATACTATGTAGACAGAATTAACTTGTACTGTGCATTTTCCATAACTCAAGTTTGACCTTGTGAGAAGTTATGTCCCATAAGCAAGGTCAAAATAAATCACAGGTGGGAGGGCAGTTTAGGAATAGGACTAAACACATTTAACAAAATAAAAAATACATTTAATTGTATAATTTCAATAGTAAGTAATAAGGTCAAATTAACACATATAATTACATGCAAAGAAACCTGTGGATATGTTAATTAAAATGAAGAAATTAAGGGTATTGCGATATATGTATCATATGTAAAATTATGTTTAAAACCCCTATGATTACATTTTCTAAACCAAATAGAAATGCAATATTTGGCAATTATTTTCTGTTCTCTTTTGCCACATTTTAAAATTTACATAAAAATGTAAAACTATTAAAAATGATACTGTAATAAAAAAGCTATATTTCTGCTAATCACCCCATAAGTGATTGGTCATTTCTCTAATGGCCTTTTGGAAGAGCATTCTAATTTAAGTATACAATGAAAGCAATCATCTTTCTCTTAAGCCTTCTGTGTGCTCTATGTCACATGGTTGATAATGAAATGTGTTTGTGAGTTGCTCACATTTCGGCTTGGGTCATTTCGGCTTGGGTTTCGCGAGGTGATTTTATTTGGTGTAATGAAAGTAAAGTGAATGCTTATTGGATTTAAATGTGAAGGTTTATTGGTTTATGATAAGGTCAGATGAGCACTTTAAGGAGGAAAGAAATGGCTATCAAAGCCACTTTTATTTTAAATAGATCTCTTAATACACCAAGTCGATGTGTAACTGTGATAGTAAGTGATTGTGACTTTTAATCTCAAACACTGCTAAATGAGGTTGTTTTACATATTTCTAATAGAACAGATTTGTTTCTGTGATATTGAATATTAGCTGTTCATGAAAATCCCCCCCCCCCCCTATTTAATATAGCCCACGAAGCAGAATTTAAAATGTATATAGTAACACAAATTCAGGTTAGGTTAGTCACCCAAGAGTTTAAACACTAAACAGGAAATTAAATGTAAAATAAGTTGGGGGGAAAAAGTCACAGCTTCAACTTATTTAAGTACATTACATTCAAACTTTATTGCATTCCTTTTGCATATACTGATCAATAATACAGCAAATATTACCTTTAATAAAATGTATTTCTAGTTGTACCTTAACCCCTTAAGGACTGAGCCAAATGTACACGTTGTGATCAAAACAAAAGGTAAATAAAATCTGGAATTTGACTATATGTCTGTTCAACCGTAATTCACCTCTTTCATAATAAGTGCACCCATACTTATTATATATCATTTTATTCAGGGGAAACATCAAATATTTAGGTATGAAATATAATTTAATATGAATAAAATATAAAAAAGAAATTTTAGTTCTACGTGTCATTTTAACTGTGAATGTCATAATACTGTTTGCTTTTACTGCAATAAAATACACATATTTGTATTCGGCGATGTCTCATGTGTAAAACAGTACCCCCTATGTACAGGTTTTATGGTATTTTGGGAAGTTACAGGGTCAAATATAGCATGTTACAATTTTCAGTTTTTTAACATTGAAACTGGCCAAATTTAGTGTTAATATTTGTTTGTGTGTGAAAATGCAAAAAACTAATTTGAACGCCAATTTTGGCCAGTGTTTGTGACTAAGTGGCTTCTAAAAAAGACTGGACATACCCCATTGTCAATACCTTGGGTTATCTACTATTGCAAATGGTGTGCTATCATGGGGGTAATTTTCATTTCTGGGCTACCGTGCGGTTTCAAAGGCAACGTAACCAATCTGGCGAATTTCAATATGAAAAACACTGAAACGCAAGCCTTATATTTGACTCTGTAACGTTTGAAAATGCCATAAAACCTGTTCATAAGGGGTACTGTTATACTCGGTAAACAGTAAAATGTATCACAACAATTATATTGTCAGTGTAAGTGTCATTTGTGTGTGAAAAATGCAAACAATTTCACTTTCACTGACGATATCATCGTTGTAATACATTTTACTATTTTGAAACACTAATATTTGTGTTCAGCAAAGTCTTCCGAGTAAAACTGTACCCCCCATGTATATGTTTTATATATATATATATATATATATAAAATATAATTTTTTACATTATTTTTATTTATATATAGGTATATATATATATAGTGATACATATGTGTATACTTATGTATATAGATATATATATTATTTCGTTCGACTTGTATTTTGATATCAATATATATATATATTAATATCAAAATACAGTTATATCTTTTTAATTATTTATTTTTAATTATTTTTTTATTTCTATTTTTTAACATATTCACATATTTATTTATTTTATATTATATATAAATATATATATAATTATTATTATATATATAAATTTAATCAATATTATTCTACATGTATTTTGATATTAATATATATATATATATGTATATATATATATAATTATATATATATATATATATATATGTATATATATATTAAGATTAAAATACACTTAGTGTATGTGTATGTATTTGTATGTGTATATATACTTAGATCATATATATATATATATGGTATATATATATATGATCTAAGTATATATAATTTTATTTTAAACTGTTTTTAACTTTTATTTTAACTTTTTTTCAGGCAGCAGGGGGACTACCTGTAATTCCAGGCACTCCCCCTGCTGGCAATGCTGTGGACGGCTATTCCATCCATGTGATCGTGAGGTCCTCGCAAGGACCTCGCAATCACATGGCCCAGGAGGGCCGGAACGGCAGCAGTTCCCCCACCGCGTTTGCCGTCGTGTGATCGCCGGCGAGCGGGTAAGTACATAGGACGGCGGGGACGTGTTATGCCACCCGTTGGCATTTAGAGCTGGGTCCTCAAGGACGGAATATCATGTCCGCCGTCCTTAAGGGGTTAAAAGGACTCTGTAGGCACCCAGACCACTTCAGCTCATTGAAGTGGTCTGGGTGCAAGCTCCCATCATCCTTAACCCTGCAGCGGTTTTTGCAGTTTTTATAAACTGCTATAATTACCTCTGAGGGTTAACTACTCCTCTAACAGACAGCCACTATTTAGATGGACTTTTGGTCCATTATCTGACACTGGACGTCCTCACGCTCTTCATGAGGACCTGCAGCATCAGATTTTCCACATAGGAAAGTTTAGAATAATGCCTGGGGAGATCCTAATGAGAGCACAGCTATTGCCGCACATGCGCATTAGGTCTCCCCAGCTGAGTCAGCTTCGGCGCTGGACCCAGGTAAGTGACTGAAGGGTTTATTAACCCCTTCAGTGCCACGGTAAGGGGCCTTGACAGAAGGGGAAGCTACAGTGCCAGGAAAATGAGTTTGTTTTCCTGGCACTATAGTTTCCCATTAAAAAAGTATATATTGAGGTCAATCAAATAAGCTATATTTCTATACAGGGTAGAACACATTTAGATCTTACTGTTTTTATGTTCCCTGTGCAATAAATTATTACTCATCTTAACAGTTTCTATTGACCTTGGAAAGATGAAAAGCTGTATCGAACATGCTCGGAATTGACCATGTAAACATCATATTTAACCCCTTCCCAACCGTGGACATACTAGGTACGTCCGAGAAAAATGGTCCTTAAGGACCTCGGACGTACATAGTACGTCCACTGCATTGCTACTTACTTACCCAATCGCAGTCCTTCCCCCGCCAGCGATCGGTGTTCCTCTCCATCTGGGGGGACTGTCTGACAGCCCAGACAGTCCCCCCTTGGCAAATTAGGACCCCGTGGGTATATACATATATTAATATAAAAATACACTTAAAGTAAAATTACACACGTATATATTTATAATATATATAACTCTATATATTGTATATATATATATATATATATTATTATAAAAATAAATAATAATTAATTAAAAATGTAAATATAATTACAAAAATGTCAATTATATATATATATATATATGTAATTTTATTCTTACTATATTTTGATATTATATATATATATATATATATATATATATTTATATCATAATACACTTAGAATTAAATTATATATATATATATATATGTATATATAAATAAATAAAAACAATATGAAATATATATATATATATATATATATATTCATATACATAATTATATAATATAATCATATAATAATTGGATTAATTGGTTTTCAATGCATTCCTATGGGAAAGCACGTTTCGGTTTACAAATGTTTTGCAATAAGAAACGTCCTGGAGAACACATTCAATTTGTAAACCGAGGTCCCAAGGTACATATAAGGTGTGATTCAGAGATTTATTACAGATATAATCGGTATAAAGAGATAATGGGTATTTCTAAACTCAGGACAATATTTTGAAACTAATTAGCATGCATGTTTTTGGGCGGTTGTAGATGCATAACAGATTTTGGGGGTCAAAGTTAGAAAAAGTGTGTTGTTTTTAATTTTTTTATCCTATTTTATATTTTTTTATAGTAAATTATATGATATGATGAAAATAATGGTATCTTTAGAAAGACCGTTTAATAGCGAGAAAAACAGTATATAATATGTGTGGGTACAGTAATTGAGTAAGAGGGAAATTGCAGCTAAACACAAACACCGCAGAAAAGTAATAACAGCCCTGGTCCTTAACGGTAAACAATTTTTAAAACGTTCTGGTTACTAAGAGGTTAAAAGTTTCTAAAGAGCTGACAATTGATATGCGGATTGATTGACTGTTTGAATCTGATCTCAGTTAGCCCCACTCTGTCAAAATGTACTTACCTAACAAAATGCAGTCTCAATCATGAATCTTTCTGTTATTATAGCAAGGTGTCAAAATAAACACAATAAAATTTCCCACAGTGCAAATAAAAAATACTGTTACGCAAACTCTATAACACTAAAACATCGAGAGCTAACTAACCACCTGGCTCCAAAGATAAAATTACACTGAAGGCTAAGCGACCCATATACCCGACACAGGACAACACCACTACAAAGTTGGACTGAAAACGGGGAAAAGCCTGACCATAACGCCAACATCCCTAGGGAATAACAGACGACCAAATAGGACCCACAATTCTGTAGAACTGAGGAAAGCGCTCACGCTTTCCCCCGATATGACAAAGCAACAACACAGAGATAGAATGACACACAGCCCAACACCCTCTTCAACATCCCTGTCACACAACCATAACGCACGAGTTAAATAGAGTCCAGGCACACAGACTTTACTATAGTATCCTACTATCTTCCATTTCTTATGCTATCATTATTATTATTTTATTTTTTTGTCAAATACGTCCAATGCAAGTCTGTATCATACTTGTTTAAAGTAATGATCACCCTCGAAGAAGACATTGCAAAGCAAATCCAATATGCCCCCCGTAGGGGCCACAAAAATCCTATGGGGTATCCAATCTAAATAACGAACTTGAGCTCCAGGCCCAGGCGAGCCTATCAATACCTCCATAGATATAGAGTCCAGGTACACAGATTCTATTGTCTTATCTTACTGCCTTTTTACTTTCTATTTTCAAAATATGTCCGATGCAAGCCTTTATTATACCTACATATGTATATAAGGAAGATTGTGTGAGAAGACACTATACAACTGTGCATTATCCTCCCCCCCTCCAATTTCTCTTTTGTACCCCATTCCCCACCCAATAAACTACATGAAATGAACCATAAATAAAGAATTTAAAAAAAAAAAATACTTTTATGCATCACCTGCATATATCAAGTTGGACTTTGGAACGTTCCCTCTGGGCACAGAAATGCGAGAAATCATGTTTCCAGAACCATCCCAGAGTTCCCTGCTTGATTTGCAAATGAGCTCAGTAAGGCCTCGTGTTTCAGCGTTAATTCTGCATTTCTTCAGGTATTCCTAGCAATGGATGCTGTTTTTAATACAGCTTTTTAAAATCATAGCATGGGTTGTGATTCACAAAGGATTCCATTTAATTGAACACAATATACTTCAAGAATTTTTTTTTTATTCCTTTATTGCATGGTGTGTTTAATATAGAAGTGTTTATATCTTTTTATCTCCCCTTTGTTAATTGCCTGCTAGAGCTCGCAGCACACCCCTGTGCTCAGTTAAAGTTCAATTCAATCAACATACCAAGAGATAAAAATATCTCGAAGGAAATACATTGTGCGTTAAGATGTGATTAAAAATAAAATTAAACTTTTTTTTTTACAGAGGCAATTTGAGTCATAGCCAGGGGAGGTGTCTCTATAACTACATAAACAGAAACAACAGTGATTTAACTCCTAAATGGCAAAAAATGTAGCAGTGACTTTACATGTTGAAAACATGAGGAGAACAATGCAGTTTTTCTCATAACCAAAGACAACATATGATAAAAAGCAAATGTGTCACATTTCAGAACCCAATTACAGATTTATGAAACAAAGTACCATTAAAGGAATTAGATTTCCTCGTCAACTATTAGACACTATTAGTCCTATGCTTGTGACAAGGGTTTTAACACTAGGAGTGATTTTTACCTTTCATCATTTTATGTCTTGTAGGTTATATAATTCTGTATCCTGTACACTGTGTGTGATTTAAGGATGACACTTTATATTTTCAGTGAATGGTACTTAGAATGGATGTAAGCGCTTAACACTTCTAATATTCAAAGAACTCGCAATGAATCTCATTATGTTCTTCATTTTTTCAGGAGAACAGCAAAAGACAGAAAGAAAAGCTATGTGAAAAATTTGATTATTTATACGCTATCCTTGAGGAAAGGAAAGGGGAACTAACCCAAGTCATCACTAGAGACCAAGAAGAAAGACTTGAATATGTGAGATCTTTAATGAAAAAGTATGCTGACCATTTAGAAACTGTTTCAAAACTGGTGGAGTCCGGAATTCAGTATATGGATGAGCCAGAAATGGCTGTATTCTTGCAGGTGAGTCTTTATAAATATCGACACAGTGGCAAATAATTAACTTATTTATGGAATAGGTGGGATATATACATTTAAAAATAATAATAATAATAATAATAGTTTAATATTTAATAAAGGAAATTATTTTGCCTAACTGGACAATGTCAGCAATGTTAATTTCTGGGGCATTCTGCAGGGAATCGGTTTTATTTTTTTTAAAAAGAAATCCCTGCTCTGTCTTAAAACAAACAAAAAAATATGATTTTAAAAGCTCACTTTGATAAATATTTATATAATATTTTCGAAAGCATTTCATTAAAGAGGCACTGTCACTGCTATTTTTTTTCCCTCTAAATTAGTTTGTTTTATATGTTCAAAATTCAACTTATAAATAAAAAAAAGTACGGACTACTATATCTTATTTAGTGCGTGATCTCTGGCAATGGTGCAGCTTGGAAGGTCACTCCAGAACACTTCTAGCACCAACACAACTTAAAGGACATCTGTCACCTCAAAACTATGTTTTAATCTAATAATTGTACCTTTAGTATATGACACAAACTTTTCGCAATATACATGCACCTTGGGTCAAACAGTGTTTGAAAACCAACAGTTAGTCTCTATATACAAAAGCAGGTAATATTGCTGCTCCTGCTATTTCCTCTATTGCTCACTTCTTACCTGATCTGTTAACGGGAAAATGCTCCTATCAGTTTACTGCTAAATATACAGGCATACCCCACTTTTAAGTACACAATGGGATCAGAGCATGTATGTTTAAAACGAAATTGTACTTAAAGTGAAGCAATACCTTTTTTCACTTCCCAATTGCATGTACTGCATTGCAATAGTAAATTAAAGGCATAACTGATACTGCAACTGCAGATTTCCAGTGATTTTATTTCCAGTGATTTATTCAGTGATTTCCAGTGGGCTTTTATTTAGTTAAAACAAACAGTAAAAAAAAAAAAATCTCATTCCAGATTGTACCATTTATCTTTAATGTTTTACTCATCTGACAACCTTAAACTGGGAGGAAAAGTAAAATAAACCTGCCCACTGGACTATTTTCTGTCAATACAGTGCCAATTTGTATTTGTTAGCAGCTTAGTTGCACACTTTGTTTAGAAACACCTCTTCGTCATTTTAAGCATTTATGGTTTAACTTTGAATCCTCAGAATTGTGGCTAATGCAGCTAAGCTGCTAAGTCATAGTTATAGAAAATGGCAGGGTAAACCCTTTCACTGGATGGCAGCCGATTGCAAAATATGGACAACGTAGGGCAGAAAAAAAAAATCTATATGTTCAGCTAGGAGTAGGCATTATAAATTTGAGATGATTAACCTGTGCCATGTCAGAAGGTGTGGAAGTTCTTGCCCCAATGACACTGAACTGAGCTGCTCCAGGCGAGAATAGAACCTTCCATTTACTGTTCATTCGCAAACAGAAGACGCGCAGGAATGTCTGTACTCACGAGGTACCTTTAAGTACACTCGCGGGTATGTCTGTACTCTCAAGTGTATGTAAAGTGAGTGCCTGTATATACATAATATATTTTTTCATATGTTACAGCACACTGAATCATGTTTATGGTCCTTTTTTGTTTGTTTTTTTTTTTTTTTGTTCTTCTGCTTTGGTTCCGAATTGGAATCTTGGCTCCGACATTTTGCGGTGTTAAACATTCAGCCAAAATTTGAGTGTCCTGAAAACTTTCTGTTTTGGGGAAAAATCATTAGGCTGAGCCATGTTTTAACACTGTACACAAGTCTACTGGTAACAACAACACTAGAACGTGTTTCTTGCAAACACACTTTTCAAAGTTACACCCTGGAAAGAGCTGACGATAGGGCTGGGCAGTCTGGGCTTAGGGTTACTGATGCTGGGATGGAAAAAATGTGGTGTCTTGATTTTAAGACAGACACTCATCAAAGGATACAAGAAATAAAGTTTAAAAAAATGGGCTACAGAATTATTCACAAACATAAGAATTCAAGTGGAATTCAAAGTGAATTTTATCTCAAAATAGCCAAAATGGAAAAATGTTTTTAAGGCAGCTATTCTTCCATTTCAACTATTCTGGCCTTAAATGTGAAATTCCCTGCTAAAGTCAAAACTAGCAAGCAAGTCAGAAAGCATTATACTAAAGTGAAAATTGTGGGGTATTCAAAGTGTATTCAAATCAAATTTCAATTTTAGAGTGATACTAGAAGCATCAAAACAACTTTAACGTATTATAGTGTATAGTTCATGCCCCTACTCCGTTCTCTGCCATTTAGGAGTTACGTGACTTTTGTTTCTGTTTATGCAGCCCTAGCCACACTGACTGACTGTGACTGACACAGCCTGCATGAAAGAATGGTTTTATTTTTAGTTAGAGGTTATCTTGCCTCATACGGTTTTTTATCTCCTGCTCTGTAAATTGAACATTAATTACACACGGGGATGCCTGCAGGGTATAGAAGTTTGTTAATAGAGCAAAATATAAGAAATTCTAAATAAACAGAATGTGCAATCAAGGAAGTTTAAATATTACATTTCTCTTTACAGGAAGTGTTTAGGAAGGCTGTGCAAGTCACATGCAGGGAGGTGTGACTAGGGCTGAATAAACAGTGATTTAACAACTAAATGGCAGAGAATTGAGCAGTGAGGATGCAGGGGCATGTTCTATACACCAAAGCTGCTTCGTTAGGATAAAGTTGTTTTGGTGCCAATCGTGTTCCTTGAAGAACAAACTAGCTGAACTGGAAGGACAGCTGAGTAAGATACATTTTTCCAGTTTGGCTATTATGGCCTTACATTAAAATTTACTTTGAACTCTCACTTTAGTGAACAATCCCCTAAGTGATTAGGTACAATAAGAAGATCTATAAGAATCAAACACAGTTATTCACTAAAGTGAGAATATGATGTAAATTAAAATTAAATTTCAAATTTAAGGTCTAAGTAGTCAAACTGGAAGCATAGAGTTTTTGAGATTTTTTTCCAATTTGGCTATTTTGGCCTACAATTTTAAATTCTCTTTGAAAGAGCAGCTCACTGGATGGTATATGGAAATGTTATTCTAATTCTGAATTGCTCTTGGAACAGAGCCGTAATGTGGTTAATCACCGATTTGAGGCAGGTGCCAAAATAATATTCATGATCAGGGAACAAGACACGATATCCTTCAGAGCAGGACTTTACACTTGTAATCAACTCAATCAACACCTATTCCAGCAGCAAAGTGAGTCATGAGATCTAGATTGGTAACACATTACTTAGAAACACATACATTTAAGGATACACAAAAAACAGATACAACTATAATTCATAGTGTCTGCATAAAGATGCTGTTGGACTAGTTAGACACATTTTCCCCATAAATGAACCACCTAGCTTAACATTTTTGACCATTTCAGTATCCACCATTTGACTATCTGTCATGTTGTAGATGCTGGGAGTGGTGTACTACACTGTAATGATTATGGTTCTTGGATTGTCCATTTAAACAAGCAGCTAAGGGAGAAAAGGGAAACCAGGCATGGACAAGTACACAAAGAAACAAGGTGCATTACTGATGACAAAGGCGAGTCTCAGGTAGAACCTAACACTAGTTCACCTGTATTCCCAAAAGGTTTTACTGGCTGGTACATGAGCTCTTTTCTGCGATTTTTAGTCTAACAGCAAGTGGAGGGCTGCATCACTAATAAAATCCAATGCAGGTGCAAAATATGACGCAAGGGTCTGACAACAGAGGTTGGCCTGGTGGCTTGCCCAGTGTGCCACAAGGTGTGGGCGACCTCCATGCAGTCTATCTCACACTTTCACAAAGCCACAGTAGGCACGTGCCTACTTCACGGTGCTCGAATGTGGTGGTGTTTTTTTGCTACTTGCACATAGAGGGGGTCTGGAGTTGGGGCACATTATTTCCTATTGTTTGAAGGCCCTGTGAATTGTCAGCTGATGATATAGATGTAGAATCTGAACCTTTCATTCTGGACTATGCAGAGAAATGAAATACTGTCGGTTACCTGGTTCATGTTGCTTGGATTTCAATGCCGGATGACCTTAGCATTATAAATATAAGTTTTTTTATAGCTTTTCAGCTTCAACATTTCTTATGGTATATTGTCCATAAACATCTAAAGATGCCTACAAACACATTTTTGTTATGTTTAATTAGAAACAGAAACACATAATGGGTTTACATGTGCTGCTTTGAAAACTCACGTGCCACCCCTGGTTAAATGTCAAATTAAAATGAAACATTGTTGCAAAACCAACATGCTATCCCATCAAAATGTATAATATATTACACAGTTTATAACCTTTACCATGCTATCAACATTCATTTTATATTTAAGAAAGTTCTCTTATGACGTTAATATGTAAACATTACACGAGTTTGCCCTTTGTATTGGGTAGAAGTGTTGGCCCATGTAACTGACATTGTCCATAATGGCAACAATTTTATGTATTGGACAGAACAGAAATGCAGTCGGAGGTGCACTGAACTTGTATCAGTACAACAGAAATATGGCAGTAGGCAGGAATAGTGAAAGACTTGTGTTGTCCCAGCACTGTATGAATTAGTATTTAGTCTGACTGCTCCCACTGGGATAGTTCCTAGTAGACTAGTAGACCTAGTATCTGAGGCTGACTTGGCTCCACAACTATGTTGAGTATATATGATGTGTAAGTGTGTGCATGTGTCTGTTGGGTGATATTAGACAATGTTCAACACACTCATCATCATCAAACATTTTAGTTGTCAGATGTGGCATGAGAGTCACGGAAAAGTTGCCTCATGTTGCACAGGTCAAACTGATTGAGGTTGCAGGGATATATGACGCAACAAGCTGAGACTCAAGCAGCCTTTGTCTGTTAACCTGTCTGTATAGTAACAGTGAAGACAAAACTGCTTTTGAACACAGTAAAGGAATCTTGTCAAAGCTACCCTTTGTATTAATTAACATTCCAATTCATCTGTTAAATAAAAAGTTTTGTGGAGAGCTATTTCATAAGAGTATCTTCAGCTGTAAAGTAATGCAATTTTCAATAATGTGAGGAAAGATGAAAGCATCACGTTAAATACCTCCTATTTTTATCTCATTTGACACTTTTTAGCATGACCTACTATTTTCATTTAAAATGCGTAGCCTGATTTTTAGCTAATTATAAATCAACCGTCTGACACTCTTGTGTGTTTTCCTCTTAAGCTTTTTAACAGGTGTGTGATGTTAACTAATTTCCCAAGAGATATTATATCAGCCTCATTTTTTTAGATGCTATCAGCCTATGATTAAGTTCTTATAGATGAATCACATTGGGCACCAACATCGGAACACCAAGTGACACTTTTATCTATCCACTAAGGGTGATGATCTGTACCATTGATATGTTAATCAAAGTGTAAATACAGCATTGTTTTTTGTTTATTTAGCTATGAATTCATTTTTGTTGTGTTTTATATTGATATCATTCTTGTTTTGTGTTTGCATTTTACAGAATTCTAAAGTATTACTACAAAAGTAAGTAATCCATATCCCAAATGTGTGTGCACCTGTGCATTTATTTAACAGATACAGTTAATGTAACCATTTCATGTCATAGAATCACAGAAGCATCTAAAGGATTTCAGATGGAAAAAATTCAACCTGGATACGAAAGCATGAATTCTTTCACAGTGGACCTTAATAGAGAAGAACGAGTATTACGAGAAATAGACTTTTATAAAGGTATGTTAAAGCTAAAGTGACCATTATATAGCAAAAGAAGTAACATCATTATTTTATCTTATTATTCTTCTCAGTTATACCTGAAATTCATAAATCTGGTACGTGAGGGTAAGCAAAGAAGAGTGGAGGTACTCGAGTCACAGAACATATTTTCCTTTAGCTGACATACTACATAGCACTTTTTTATTGTAACAATAAAACAATATATTCATAGTCTTTCATATATCCACCAGCAAAGATATCAACTGAGTTCTTGAGAACTGACATTTAAAGCTAGAATATGTATATATACATAGATCTTTTATTGTTAGAAGATGAAGATGAAGAAGACGTGGCAGAAGGTGAAGATTCAGATGTCCATACAGAATCATCTGGTGAAGAAGACACCACAGAAAATGGGACCCAGATATCTCAAGTTAACAGTGAATCTGTTAGTATTCCTGACGCGGTACCTCAATCACAAGACGCCAACTTACCGACAACTGACATTCCTGCTCATCCGGTAATTCAACTTACTCGTTTCATATTTTACAAAAACAAGTTTAGTTGCTCTTAAAAAGTAAATAAGTGCCAAAAAAATGAGAGTGTGAACTGAGATTGTGGAGATATATTTTCCGTGTATAGTAAAGGTAAATAATTGCCCTCCTTGTACTGAAATGAGTCTCATCTGTTCATCTTTTACTATACAGTTGCCTAGGAGATGCATTATTTATTCTGTAAAAATGTAAAGGCTTGATACTATAAGAGTATTGGTTATATTATCTATTATATATAATATATATATATTTTTAACTTTAATCAACACTTTCATGCATTTTGAGGAATCTACAAAAACCTGGCTAGCTTTTCATCAAAGTAAGTAAAATAGTTAGAACCAAAAAAAAAAAAAAGTGAGTATTGCATAGTGAAGGGGCTAGGTGGCTCACCAATTTTTACTTGATTGTGTGAGAGGATAAACCACTCAAAAGGCAAGGTGTTGGCAGTCAGTATGCACATCATCATAAAATCACAGCATCATTCCAGATATCACTGGAAAAAAAGAGAGAAGGAATGAAAAACATACACCAATCAGCCACAACATTAAAAACACCTTCCTAATATTGTGTAGGTCCCCTGGTGCTGCCAGAACAGCTCTGATGCATGGTTTCCACAAGACCTCTGATTGTGTCCTGTGTTATCTGGCACCAAGACAGTAGCAGCAGATCCTTTGACTCCTGCAAGTTGCAAGGTAGTGCTTCCATGGATCGGATTTATTGATCCAACACATCCCACAGAAGGCTCGATCAGATTGAGGTCTGGGGAAATTGGAGGCCAAGGCAACACCTTAAACTTTTTGTCATGTTCCTCAAACCATTCCTGACCAATGTGTGCAGTGTAACAGCTTGCATTACCCTGCTTAAAGGGTCACTGTCATCAGGGAACACCATTGCCATGAAGAGGCGTACATAGTCTGCAATCATCTCTAGGTAGGTGGTACATTCCACGGTTTCCCTGCAGAATATTGCCCACAGCAATATTACCTTCTTCCCATAGTGCATCCTGCTGCTATTAAACATCACAAATGGCCTATGACTGCAGCATAAAGGTAATTATATAGGTAACCACGGCACAAGGGCACCATAACCACGGCAGTGTACTGTAGAGGATGTGGGGCTTGTAGTGTTCATTTACATGTACAGTCTTTTCTCTTTATTTATAACTCTTTATTAAAGTTTTCAAACTTAAAAAAAAAATTCAAATAGTTATTCTTATACTATACAAAATACTAAATATTGAAATTAATTCTAAATGTGCACAGACATAAAAACCAACAGCCAACAACATATCTTACAGCATGTCAAGCTCAGGTTTGTGCTATCAACAATTATCCAAATTCATTCAATTAAATAGCCACCATAGTGGGTGGGAATGGGGGACAAATGATTAATTTGTATATATAGACTGTAGATATTTTGTTTAGGCACAAATTAAGGTCTAAACTCACAGGACAAATGTGTGCTGGCATAGAGAACCATTGGGAACATATTTCTATATACTTTTTTTTTCCAAGTATACGTCCTTGCTTAAAAAAGATCTCTCTGCTGAGGCTTGAACTACTATTTTAGATCGTATTTGGACTCTCTTGTCTTTTCCAGTATCTGGCTATATAAATCTTAAAAGCAAGGAGTATATTAACACAAATGTACAGTCTTTTACAAGCAATGAAACCTGAGCTTTCTCCCATGACAAGTGACAGAGGGGATGAACTTGGAGTTGCAATGGTTTTTACATGTACCTTGTGGCAGGGGACTGCCTAAAATTCTAATATATACAAATTGCTGAGAGTGTTATGGTGCTTAGAGAGTCCTTTTATTGGGCACTTCAATAAATGTTTTTATAGGGTGTACTTCACACTCTAATATTATCTTTGATATGGGTTAACAATGGGGGAACTTTATCAAAGGATGTTAATCTGGCTATTTTGGTCAAATTCAATCCTCCACTAATTTGAAAGTTTGTGTTTTTTTTTAGTCTCTGCACTAAATGGAATTGTGCCCAAACAGGAATTACTATTAAAGGGACACTACAAATGGAATTGTGCCCAAGCAGGAATTACTATTAAAGGGACACTACAGTGTTAGGAATACAAACATGTATAAATATTTAGGTTTTAGGCCCCCCTCAGAATGGACTGTAAAAGTAGATTACTTATCTTTCCTCCATCGCCGGACTGGTCTCCCCATGACTGGCCCTGTCTCCATGGCTGAGATCATTAATCCTCTATAGGTTAGTGAGAGCCAGAAGCTCTCAAAACGCTGCTCTGTGCCTATCAGCATCTCCTTATAGAGATGCATTGAATCAAAGCATCTTTAAGGGGAGCGTTTAGCATCATGAAGATGCTGAATTAAATAGGAAGTACTTCTAATGGCCATCAGAGTGACGGCCACTAGAGGTGTCGCTAGGTAGCAATGTAAGCACAGCCTTTTCTCTTAAAAGGCAGTGTTTACATTAAAAAGCATGCAGGGACATGCTATACTACATGAAGCTGTAGTGGTTCTGGTGACTACAGTGTCCTTTTAAACATAGACTGATCATAGTTCTTAAAAACAATAATACCTTTCCAGATAACCTTTGTGTATTATAGGGGGCACACATATTTGTGTTTTGGTTTTACAAAGTTTTATATGAGTCATCATGAAAAAAGCACATACAGTTAACATTCAGCTAAAACATTCAAACAAGTTTGTATTTTATGCTAGCTAGTATTACTGGACGCAATTTACAATTTATTCAGTTTCAAATAGAATGTGCTATTGTTCCTGGTTTCCAGCTGTTTCAGAGTATTATTGTGATCTATAAAATCCGTATCTCTGATATCAGCAATACATTTTTACTAGTGTTTGTCATTCTGTACATACAAATGAGTGTAGCAGAGCTGGCATTTGGTGGATAGTAAAGGGGTAGCGGATGTGTTGCCTCCAGTCTTTTACTTGCCAGTAGCTAGCACAGGGGTAGACAACCATCGGCACTCCAGATGTTGCGGACTGTAGCTTTGAACTAGGGGTTGTTGTAGCTGGTAGATACTTGTGGCACACTGACGGTCAATAATAAGTGGAATCTAGTGATGTCTACTAAAAAATTGACATTTGATGATAAGTGATACATTTCAACTGGACTGTTGTTAGATGCTAATTCTTCTCAGTTTAATATTTTTGATGATAAGTGTACATTCTATTTGATTGAAGCTCTTTATGAATGATGCTGCAAGTTGGTGCTGTGTCCAAAGTGATGCTGAAAGTTGGTGGATCCTGAGTTGCCAATATATTCTAGAGGATGGAATGTAGCACACAATCGTAATGGCATAGCTGTTGGTATGTTGTTGTTGGCACGATAGAACATGATTGTAAGTTTGTGTTTGCTACGGATCAGTGGGATGGTGGTGAATGATTCCTGCCCATCTGTTACTTGAAACTCCGTCACTACATGGAGAAACAAGCTATTTTGTCCTGCATTTGCAATCCACTTTATAACTCGCTACAATTCACTGCTCAGTAAATTCTGTGAGTTATTGGCAGTGGGATTCAGATGCTTCATTTATCACATCATGTAATTTCATGTGTCTTTTGTGATGCTTGCAGTTTATTCCCGACACTGACTCATTATTATTTAATGGTAAGTAAACAGTTAAGATAGGGAGAGGGCCAGTGGACATTAATCATGGTGCTATGACCCAATGTGTAGAGAAATACAGGTAATTAAGTGAAAATTTTTAAATATTCATCTAAGCTAATTTTTAATTGAATTAACATATATACCCAAGGATCCTGATAAAATAAATGCAATTCAAACACTTGGAACACTCTTTCCTATAGATCTTAGACAAATAGGATAGTAAAAGGTTGTCTAGTACCAATAACCCTTCAGAAGGTTGACTTACATAGACTGATTACTACAAGGACCAATGGCTGATATGCTCATAGTGCTAAATGTTATCCTTGATTAACAGAGAGCAAACAAACATCTGTTGCACACTTGTCTATCATCAATGCTCATCATAAATATTGTAATATTGTAAAAAAAACAAAAAAAAAAACAAGTGTACCTCTTGTACGGAATGGGGTCATTGTATTAAGACTTACAGTGTTATTCACAATTTTCACAAATTTATTCTGAATGGCAAAAATGAGCTAGAAATAGCTCATCTGGAAACAAATCTCTAAAACAGCTATAGTCACAGTTTGGCTAATTGTTCCTCAATTTTGCCACTTAAAATTAATTTGTAAACATTCAGTGTTTAGTGAAAAACCCAGAAATTACCATACTGACTTTCAAATAATTTGATTTTGTTCTGTTGTGATTGACAAGTAAATAGGCCAGTAATGGTAAATATATGGCACTGAGGTCATTGTTATCACCCAAAGGACACTCATAGGGCACCCAGGATTGATATTAAAGGTACACTCTGGGCTCCAATACCAATTTAATGCATTTCATAGGTTTTGGCCTCATTAATATGCTGTATTTTTTCATTTTTTCCGTTTTCAAATATTTATAGTGTTTGCATAAAATAAATAAACGTTTTGCAGAATTCTGTACCATAAGCTTGCCTCTTTAGCCACACCCTCTTACTCCAGAAAAATACTTTATTATCAAATGTATGCACACAGTCAGCCACTGACAGCACTGAGTAATCTGAACAGCAAAACAACCTGCATTAGTAGGAGATAATCCCCAGTGAGGAATATTGTAAGCATATCACTACCTGTTTGTTGTTTCACTGACTGTCTGCAGCCAGGTTGTGAATTAAGAAGAGCTCACTCAGTGCTGAGTGCATTCCTTAGATAAGGAGGTATTTTTGGCATGAAGGGGCATGGCTAAGAAGGTAGGCTTATGGTGCAGCATTCTGCAAAAAATATACTTATTTTGTGCAAAAAAATATAAAGATTTGAGCATGCAAAAAATACAGCATATTAATGAGGTTAAAACCTATTAAATGCGTTAAAGTCGTATTGGTGCCCCAAGTGTCACTTTAGAGGCCCAAATAAAAATGGTGGGTAAATGTGCATAATGCTGAGATCAGTGCACATAATGTAAATTACTGGTACACAAAGCAGACAGAAAGGAGTCACTTTATCCAACTGCCTATATTCCTCAAATAATAGAAGAGTGTCCCTCTTAATGAATTATTCAAAGTTTTAAAATAGCCAGTTTTAAAATATGGTATATTATTCATATAATTACAGAAACAAAAACTTTAGGTGGGTTCTAGTAACAAATACTATATAGGAATTATCCATACTCTCTGGAATGTACATAATTGTTGTGATAATTAAACATGACTCATTCTATAGTTGTTTTTTGTATAGATGTCTAGTGTGTTGACCTGTTTCATTGTATCTCTTAACATTTCTTTTTTGGTACTCCACTTTTTAACACAGTAAATAGCCTTGTAAGTTAATCATACAGAAGGCCATAACTTGCATACCAAAAGATAACTTTTCTTTTTCACTTTATCTGTCCTGATAAAGGTTGGTGTTGTGCTGAGTGGCATTCAACATACTTCCCAGCCTAAAACTGAAGTGCTCTCATCAACAGAGACCTCGGATCCCTTGCTTTACCCTAGTTGGTATAAAGGCCAAGTACGAGAGGAATCCAGCTCAAACAAGGCGTTGTTGAGTGATCCTTTGGGTCAAATAGGTTCTTCAGTTCCAAAGGAAATGATTGTAAAGAAAACAGACCCTGCAGCAACAGTTAAAGATAGTATAGCAGGGGCTGGTGAGGAAACCGGCTCATCTGCAGATGCTCCAAAGGTCAGTGATCATATCCATGTTGCATCTGTGTGCAATGATTATCCTACCCTCTAATTTTATAGGCAAAGAGCTGTTCTCCATCTTACATGGGGATAGAGCACACACTAACATACAGCTAATATCTTTATTTATACATTCTTTCTTTAGAGACAGGATTTTTATTCCTGCATGATACATAAACACTACTGAGTTAGAACATTCCAAAATATGTCTGTGGAATGTAGCTAAAAAAATTGTAGCACTATATAGTGCTACACAGTGCTTACTGTATATGGCTGCTTATCTCAGTTGTTTCGATGCTTTGATTCTTACATCAAGATTTAAGTGCAATTTAAATAAAATATAACTCTTTACATCCTTGTGGCTCACACCTGTGGTAAAAAGCTCTCCCTGGTGTCAAGTGGACTCCATCCTGCTACAGGTTAAAAAAGAGGTAGTTGCTGGTATTTGATCTCAGATCGTGGACCCACTTACTATGTTGTGAACATGATGTGGGAATTACTATAAAGAAGAAAGAAGTCCCAATGACCACATTTAACTCTCTGGGTACCAGCAGTGCATTTACTGCTAATGCCCAGTACCTACCTAATAATACAGCTGGAGAGGCTCAAGAGACCCCAAAGAGTAGGTGCAATGTCAGTGCTCTCCCCCTTAGTCCTCCTGTACCTTACCAGATGTATTAGTAAGTGCCATAGAGCTTCTAGTTAATGCACTGCCTGTCACATATAAACTGCTATATGACTATGAGTACAGGAAGCACTAGTAGAGGAAAGCCACCCCACCTTGAAGTGCCACTTGGATCCATTGGACCCACCAGTTCTTCCATTTATGGTCCAGCCTTGATTTAATAACTACTGACAGAATTGCTATCACTATTCTTGTATTAAAGGAAACCTCTAATTTAAAAAAAGAAGCATCTTTTTATTAGATGTGTTCCTCTAAGTCTTTAGAACAATGGCCTCCCATTAAATAAAAAGAACATTAAACATGTTACTTGCTGTAATCCAGCACCAGGGCAGACTCCTCTTCTAATTCCATTCCTTCTTCTTTGAAATTGTGACAACTGATTACTTTTGTCCAATTAGATTCTTTTCATAGAATACATTTCTATGAGAAGAATGGAATCAAATGCTTCTTACAGAGCAGCACTGGACACACAGCCAACATCTGAATACTTTCCACGTGGACACTGGACATCAAGTATTGAATTTCTTTTTGTCTTAAGTTCTAGTGGGGGTCTGTCCGACAGCCACTATAGGTGAGGAAACTGCAAAAACAGTACTACTTACAGGAGCAATCAAAAGCAGGACATCTTTAAGATGAAGAGCTACTAGTGCTTGGTTTGTTCATTTAACTTCTCAAGATACATGCACAATCTGCCCACATCGTCATGCTCATCACTCCTATTTGGTCTTATTTAAAATATACCAGGCAGTTTCAAAGTAAACATTGCGTTTGGATTTCATTCTAGTGTGCTGACACTGAATATATATTTCTAGCCTTGTGACAAAAACAAAATATGTTTGTATATGCTATTTTTGCACATTTTTCACAGATCTGCTATTTAGGAAGTGCAAAAATTATTTGTAAATGCATTTCCGCAGATTTCGTAAAATTATGTTAGACATACCAAAACTATATTGTTAATTAATAAAAAAATTTTAGATCTGTTTTAATAAGATATTCTCAACTTTTCATAGAAAGTAGAGTAGCTTTGAATGTAAAGTAGGTCAGTGTTAGTATATTTCTCATTTGATCATTTACAATTAAGAAATATCATATAATGTTTATAGGAACATTTAAAGGGTTAATCCAAGCACAATGACCACTTTAGTGGTTTAAATTGGCCATGGTGCTTGGAGTTTTCATGCGCAGCGTTTAAATATGAACTGCTGTAAATCAGAGATAGACTTCCATTACCACTTTTGTTCTTAGAAGTGGTAATGGATGAAGCAATGTTTCTAAAACGGAACTCCTCATATTTCCACCATCCCTCCATCTATCTCCCTGCATGTCATTTGGACACCTATTACCTCATCTCCTCAGGCATTGAATTACTATTAAGTCAGGATTTGCCTTTTCTCAATCCAGTCAATCTCTACATTCTACAACTTCCACCTACAAATATTGTTTGCTGTTGCCCTTTTCTAACTCTAGATGAAATTAAGGCTTTCGTTCATGCACTCATCATTTTACAACTTGACTACTGCAACTCACTATTCATCGACCTTCCAAATAACCATATTGCCACTCTTTAGTCTGAAATGAATACTGCCACCAGGCTCATCATTCTGACTGACTGCTACTCCCACACCTCACCCCTTTGCTAATCTTAGCATTGGCACCCTGTACGCTTCTGGATCCAATTCAAACTCCTAACATTTACCTACAAGGTAGAAACTACAATGCTTCCTCCCTTGATCAGTGCACTCCCTGGCAGCCCTCCCTGCCTCCCTACATTTTCTACAATTTATATATTTTATATATATATATATACATATATATAAACCCAGCCAATGTATTCCCTCAACTCCCTCGCCTCCCTAGTTTAGAGAGTGCACTTACAGTCTAAACCTGGGACAATGGTCCAAGAGACGCATTATATTGGACCTCTGAGTGACACATCATGGAAACAAACAAGGAGAATAGGATTGAAGTCAAGTTAAGTATTAATGTATTTAAAATACTTTACTATTAAAAGATGGTGGTCATATTTAATAGTGCCCAGCAGGGAATTGTAAAGTATAAAAACCACATTGTGAAAAAAGCTTATTAGTAACTCCTTAATGATACTGTCGGAGGTGTAACTTCACCCTCAGCAGTGTCATTAATACGCCATTAGCCAGCCCAAAACAAAAATTCTGTGCTGGCAAATGTCCATTCTGGGCATATTCTGTGCTGGGGAGTGTCATTCATTGAGGACCTAGCTGACACTCCCACACAATGAACGACTGGCATCCCACTTACGCAGGTCTGCAAAGCCAGGCCCGGGTAAAAGGGCAAACTATTTCAAAACTGAAAACTGTGCTGTAGTGGTTCTGATATTTGGAGTAACCCTTTCATTAATTAATGAAAGTCTATCAGCTATAGGGATACAGAGTGCATGGGTTAACTGGGGCCTTGTAATTCTGGGACTAGTCTCTATTTCTCTATCTGTGATTGCTGTAATTACGCTATCAAGTATAGGGTATAAATTGTATATATGTATATGAAGATTGGTTAAATGTCAATAGTGAAGTTTACTCTTTATTCCTCAACAGGAGTTAGCATTGTCTTTACAAGTGTTGGCATTATTTATCATACTGCATCATCTCTGGATTCAGATTCAGTACATGATATTTACTATCATGGGTGGGTAGGAAATATTTTATTTTATTGCTTTACTAACGCCTCACCACCATCATTCTAATTAATTTAGAGAGTATAATCAATTAATATAACTCATCGGACGTGTGATTCTGAGCTGCAAATCCCAGAGTTATTTAGGGACCATTGCGTCTAGCTACAATAAACAAAAGAGTTATTTTACGAGTTCTTGCTGAACTAATGGATATTATAAATATCTGGCAACACAAGTTCTGGGGTTTTGGATTGCATGATTCATGCTTCAGTTCAGCAAAAAAATATGACTTTTTTTCTGTACGTTTTATTGTTTTATAATCTTATCAAAATTTCTCAAAATTATTTTGTGACCCAAGACATCTTGCTTCATTGTTACAGGAATTTAAAAAAGTGCTTTGGCCTATGGTATAACAATATTACATCTCAGAAGCCTGGAGTCACAGAATTCTCAGGCACTTCTATGACACACCTCAATAAGACCTTTCTTTACTTCCTACATGATTTGGACGATGAACAAGAGTCAGGAAGTAGATCTGTCACTCCCTTCATCCACAAATAAAAAATGCATTTAACATGTGGTAAAATGAAAATTACCTCAAAATATATATAAAAAAAGGATCAAATGTAAACTTGTAGTCAAGGCTTGCTCCTGTATTAAATAGATGCTTGTAGCCATCTGCCTATTCTGTCTACTGGTAAATCTAGTCCTGGATGCTATAGAAGCCTATATCTTACATAATTCAGCACAGCAGCAAAAAGACTGTTAGTCGTGGTTGACCAAACTGGATGTGTTTGAAACAGTTTCAATCTGACGGCAGATGAAGCCCACATGATAGGGCGAAACTCATCACAGAGGAAGAGGGCCTTTCTCTAAACTACGTGATCGGAACTGTGAGATTTTTCCAGAGCAGCAGTTATAGGCTGGGACTCATATATAAATTGCTTCTTGTGGGTCTCACAACAGATTGATGTAAGCATTTGATTTTAGCTCTATTTGTTTGAAATACAATGGTGTAACACTATTGGGGCCCCCAGGTTTCTCGTTTTTTGTTGTTGCTGCAGTTCCCACAAAAGAAAATATATCAAGAATTGTATGCGGTGTTACCCCTCACCCTAAAGCCTCTGGTGGATATGAGATATTTAGCGGGGGTTAGGAAGGTTATTTTATGTCAAACAGTATGCACTATGGATGTGTGTATTTTTTTTCTTTTTTAGGACATATGAATAATGAAAACACTTTTATAAATTAGTATTATTTAATGATTTTTCAAGAAAAAGATACTTTTATGCACAAACAGCACTTTAAAAAGAATTATAGTTTTGCACTTTAAATTTAAGTCCCTAATATAATTTAAATATAATTCACTCTAGCACACCACAAAATTTGGTTCATGTTTTTTAAGTCTTGTACACAATGTGAAGTGCTTGCAGTTTATACTTTATTGCACTTAATACCACTGTTTAAGCATCTAAGCGTTGTTATGGTCTTTCTATGTATTGGTGCATTCTTGTATACATTTATTACAACAATATAAATCTGCCAAGCACCTAGGATACCCTGCCTGCTAGGGAAAGTTTGGAAAGGTTAGGATGAGGCCATGTTTAATGTGACATTAGGGGAAGATTATGCTCAGGGGTAGTCTTCTGGGTTAGGGTTAGTAAGGATTTAGGTTGGAAGGCTTATGGGTACGGGTGTTCAGAGTTAGTAGAATTTAGGATTATGACTAACCCTTGCCTTGTAGATGCTGTAACTCTCGACGGATGAGACTGAAGGAGCCAAAGTCCACAGCATCTTGAAGGCAGATACACTCTAATAATACTAAATCCCCCTTAATTCAAAGACTCCATAATGCTACCTGTCCATAAATACTGTACACGGCAACGATATGCCTATATACCGATTCTAAACAGCACTGTAATTCCGTCATAGAATTCTGTACCATATATCACTATAGTGACCGCAACCTATTTATGTCTATTTTAATGTCAATATTTTTACATTACATTGTACATTCTTGCTATTTGAATCATAAGTAAGATTTACATAGTAAGAGAACGTGATCCTGCATATTTTTTTTCAGTTTACAGAACACAAGATTGACGCCATAGAAATCCTTGTTTACAATTAATCATATATTAATATGGTCCGGATTACTAATAGCTAATAAGGCCATACATATGAAAGACTTGGCTTGCATTCACTGTATCTATATGCAAAATATTTTACACACAAAATGAATATTCTATTTCCACGTCCACCAAGTATTTTTTTCTAAATAAATACAATGCTTGGTGGGACTGTCATCTATGGAACAATCCAAGGCCAGACTATCCATGACTTCACTTGATGTCAATATACATATTATCAGGTACTAGAGCCAGCCTTGTGTATGGATACATTGTAACTGGTTGGCATTATTGGGGGCTTACTTGATTTATTTTTTTCCCTGCAACCCGCACACATTAGATAAAGGAAGATAGGCATATTCACCAGGTACTTAGTCATTCTTTAAGTCTGGTAAACGACACAGTTTTCAATGAGGGCTTAGTTTTTTTTGTTTTTGGATGACACAGTTGCAGGAGAGGAAACCAGGTGCAGGAAGGGAAAACTATTAACATTTTAACTGATATGAATTCCTGAAGAAGTGAGTTTTCAATGTTTTTTTTCAAGGAATGGAGGCCGGGTGAGAGTCTAACGGAGCAGGGAAAGGAGTTCCATAGGAATGGTGCAGCCCTAGGTGAACTTTAAAGGTGAGAGTATGAACAGAGGATATACTCATGTCTTTGGCAAAGCGTAGGAGACTGGACGAGACATACTTGTGTATTAGGGAGGATAGGTAGGTAGGAACAGCGTTATGTAGAGATTTGTAAGCAAGTACTAGAATGTTAAATTGAGCCCTACATCATATTCTATATTAAATGGTGTAATACTGGCCAAAACAGTGAATATGTTTCACTGTATGCAGTTATAATTAACCGTTTCCTCCTTGGTTTCTCTTGGCTTTCTGAAATCCTGCCTTTACTACAGGAGAAACGTTGTATGTAGTGTGCTACTTAATGAACTAAGCCTGCAAGTTGTGCTAGTAACTCGTTTGTTGCAGCATTTCAGATGTGACTGATTATATTTGTGACATTTGTTCCTAGTAAATTGATCTTTTTTGTGTCCAGTCTCTATTATATGTCTGTTTTTAGTATAAGTGACTCATCTTCACTCTCTGCGCTTCATAACTGAATCAGTACGGGCTGAAGTAATGCTTCTTTGCATGCTGTCCTTAATAGCGCCATGTCAGACATATTATATAAAGGTTCTGTATAGATGAGTGGAACTATGCAGCTTTTCCATGATTTTACTGGATCCCCTTGGGTTCTGGAGGGGTTTAACACATAGCCTAATCTGATATATGTTGCCATTAACTCAATGTCTGGGGTGTTAGGGCATTAAAACACGTTTGAGTCTTTTGAGACCTCTTAAGGCATTTCTTAGCAGACGAGCATCGTAGCATATTTTTCATAATATGCAGACTCATAGAGATATATGCGATTTGACTGTTTTTCCATAATAAAAGCAGGGTCTCACCAATGAGGCCATTGTGTGCATTGTACATCTCTGGGTCTGTCCATTACTATCCAGTATATCTTTGCATATCTGTTGACATTTGTGGAACTTTGTTGAAAGTAAATAAGCCCCTAGCAATGTACGGGAATAAGGTGTATTAATTGACTCCCCCTGCTTAGTATTATAACCCTAACTATACGGCATATACAATTAAGACATAGGACCTACCATTGAACAGAATACTCAATTCTTTATTAGCGTGCCCTAAAGGTCACCAATTGTATTTTTACTCCTGTCCACTATGCGGTTTTTATTATATTCTTTAATAAGTATAGTCTTTGACTGCTTGTCCTTTTATTGACATGTTATATTTGATTTTTTTTATAACAGTATATATGTGTGCATATATTCATACATTTATATGCATAGTATATATTATTCTTTATTCCATATCTTTGGAAACATCTTATTTACTATAAATGTAGGTCTCTTGACTCCTTAATAACCAAACAGAAGTACTGTCTCCCACATATGCCCTTACTTTATATAAAGTGAAATGGTATGAGGATTAAAGCCTGTTCCTCAGCGTCAGCTTCATTTCTTTCCTGTCCACTATTTATTGACAACCTTAGTTTAATTTGTCATTTTAAATAAATGGGATAAGCCAGTTGAAGTGAATCTGTAACTTGTGTAGGACCAAGACCATATATATTTATGTCCAAAAACAACTCCATCATTTGCCAAGCTCTGTCATTATCTTTTGGGTCGGAATTGTGTCTTGTACATGAGATTACTCAGCAATGTTCTAGGGAAGATCCGGATGTATGACAACACATAATCTTCTTGTGCAAACTCAACAGATTTCTTCAAACAGCTATTGCCTATAATGTCAGTCACAGTGTCTGATGGCTGTTGAATTGCAGGAGTTACAGTGATCACGCTGGTGCAAGAATGCAGAGTTATGTAAACCTGCTATAATAGTTGTTTCCAGGTTTTTTTTTAATTATAATTTTAATTGTGTTGGTAAAAATGTGTGCGAATAGTCAATTTATAACAAAAGAATAAAGTATATAATCACATAATCATAGCTATAAAGTTATAATCACAATACATATTTTCATTATTTATTAGGATGATGTGAGAGCAGAATATAAAAAGCCAGTTTTTGAACTCAAGTGGGTTGTATAAAAAGTCGAGGATGTACACTAAATATTTTTCATATTTCTAAATAACTTTAATAGCTTTAAAAAACAAATATTCACTGTAACCTCTGGATACCTTGGTGTACAGTGCACGTCAGAGCAAAGAAAAATGTCTTTAATTTAGCAAAACATAACTTAAAGTAGTTAATATCGTGGACTGCAGACTATATAAATAGACAGCAGTTTAAGTAGTAGGTCATTTGCAATCAAATATAACAGATCATATGTTTATCTCCCATGTTGACATTAAGTTTGGACCCAATACTAGTAGCTATTAAATAGTGGTGGGCTTAAAGGGACACTAAGCACCAAAACAATTTTAGCTTAATTAAGTGGTTTTGGTGTATTGATCATATCCCTGCAGTCTCCCTGTATGAGTCACAGCCAGGGGAGTTGTGACTAGGGCTGCATACACGAAATGACTTAACTCCTAAATGACAGAGAATTGAGCAGTGAAACTGCAGAGGCATGATCTATACACCAAAACTGCTTCATTAAGCTAAACATCATTTTATTTTTTAATCAGTCCCTTTAACAAAGTATGGCCAGATGATGTGACCAAATTGCCATATTTATGTAGGTGTTTAAAATATCCTTGAGAGATTTGCAACTGTATAATGTGTGTAAACAGTGAACTCTATGTGTGTATAATGCAATATAGTCTGTGTAGAATGCAGACTAGATTGTACTGTCTAAACATAAGCATAAATGCTATACAGGGAGGTAATGGAATGCTTGCCATATTATATTATTCCATACTGCACTATAAAAATTAAATCATATTGATAAGATATTAGAGAAGGTATTGGACATGAGTTAAATACGCCTTCTTTGCCACAAGAAAGCAGCCAAACGGTTTTCATTCTGGACCTTGCTTGCTAGTTGTTAATAATAGTTCAGTGACGCATATTTATTTTTCAATCCATTAAATTCATTAGCTGACTGTCTGTTTTAATTTCAAACAACAAGTGCAAAGTTTCCAACACAGGTAAAGTGTGAATATGTGATTAATAGATCAGAGTAGCTCATTGAAAATAGTGTCAGTTAAGCTGGTTTAAAGTGATAGTCCTGTCATCATAACAACTCCAAATGATTATTGGTGCCATTCAGCCTCAAAATGGGGCAACACTGATATGCTGAGAGAGTCAGAATAGAGGTTCCGGGGCAGAGCTGATGGGAATCTGTCCCAATTCCTTGAGGAAGGACCAGACATTGGCTACCTGCTCTTTCTCCCATCGCCTCTTCAGGAGCAGACAGTGAATGTATTTTAAAATAGTTTTTATCTGTTTCCTAACGGGAAAAAGTAATGTTTTATCCAAAGTAAAACCATGATTATTCTTCCTGATATAACCATAGAACAGGGCTCTATTTTGTACTTTTCTATGCCCCAGTAATGTATGGAATATGAATAGCGTTATATGCCAACATATAAACAGAAAGGTGTATTATTTCTATATAGGCAATGTATTTTCGAAACTAATATCTTTACACTTGAGAATATATACACTTGTTGAGATTTCAACAATATTGTGTATAATTTCAGTCTATACTTATTTTAAAGGGACACTATAGTCACCAAAAGAACTTTAGCTTTAGGAAGCAGTTTTGGTGTATAGATCATGTCCCTGCAGTTTCATTGTTCAAATCTCTGCCATTTAGAAGTTAAATCACTTTGTTTATGCAGCCCTAGTCTTACCTCCCTGCATGTGACTGCACAGCCTTCCATAAACACTTTCAGTAAAGAGTCATCCAATGTTTACACCTTTATTGCAAATTCTGTTTATTTTAGAATGTATAATCTAATGCAAATTGCCTGCCAGACCCTACAGGGCCTCCTGTATATATTTAAAGTTCAAATTACAGAGCAAAAGATAAAAACTTTTAAAGTAAGTTACATCTGATTGAAAATGAATCCATTTTGTTTTCATGAAGGCTGTGTGAGTCGCAGCCAGCGGAGGTGTGACTTTGGCTGCATAAACAGAAACAGAAGTGATTTAACTCCTAAATGACAGATAATTGAGCAGTGAATCTATAAACCAAAACTGCACGATCTATAAACCAAAACTGCTTAATTAAGCTAATTTTGTTTTAGTGACTATAGTGTCCCTTTAAGGTGAATTTGACATTCACACAATTTCAGAATAACAGGTTCACATTAAACCACAGTTAATGCTAGTTCTGGAATAAAGGGACACTCTAAGCACCATAATCACAACAATTTGATGTAGAGGTTTTTGGGTATATTTTCTTAGGATGCAGTCTCTCTAGCTTTTGTGAAACAATTTTTTGAACAGTTTGACAGGTGCAGGGCTTACCTAGTGCCCAAAACCTGGCCCCTCTTTTATGAATCATAAGCACTCCAGTAACCTGTAATGATTATTGTGCTGACAGTATCCCTTTCATACAAAGGGCAATTGTGCACTGCCACGTGGACACCAAATAGTTAAACAATTTTTTTTTTTTTTTGTATTAGTACATAAAAACCAATTCACCAGGGAAATATAAACAGGTTATATTTAAATTATTACAGAGATGAACAGGAATCTGGCAGTTTTTAATTATGTAACACAATTTATTATCAATACGTACTAGAGGGTTAACATGTAAGGCTGAGTCTGAGAGTGGTATGGAATTTAAATTATCCAGAAATGATTCTCTGCCTTTATTTCCCTTGGTAGATTTAAGATGCTGTACTATGGTTTCATGGGAACTCTTAAGAGCAATACAATGAGATGCCTGGAAAGTCTATAGCTAATGATTTAACCATTCCTATGTTAGTCTAATCCATTTGTTCTCTTCCAAATGGTGGGTTGGTACTTGATAAGTAAAGGAAACCAGTATTTTACAGTTACTATTAAATAAACAGCTTCATATAGGAGAGAAACAATATGTCCCTGTAATCTTTTAAATTTCTACTGTATGTCTTCCTGCCGTACAGTACAGAGTATGTCAGTCTTTAGACACTAAATGAACCCTTTTGCAACATACCAATTTATTAATGTTTTCCTTTTGTTTTGTGCAGACAAAGTGTATTCAGGAATATGGATATACATATTTTTTCTTCAATTAATTGACTCAAAGGAACACTCCAGCATTATAAATAACTACTTTGTCAAGTGTACTGGGCACCCACCCTATATCTATGAAAATAATGCAGTGATTTACCTTTAAAAACACTTTAACACTACTGCACTAGGAACAAATTGTGTTCCTAATGCTACAATTTTAAATTCAGCCTCCGCCCAATTCCCCAAATAAAATGTAAAAAAATATAAAGTAAGAAAGAGGGTACTCTGTTAACCCCTAAAGCACTTTGTATTATGGGTTATGGATTGCCCAGGCAATTAAAAATTGGCCATTATTATTATGTTATTATTTAAATAGCGCCAACTAATTCCGCAGCGCTTTACAGTGGGTGGACGAACAGACATGTAGTTGTAACCAGACAAGTTGGACACACAGAAGAACTGCTGAGTTAAGGCAATGCTCCATGTTTGGTTATTTTGGTTTTATTATGTTCTATATTGTGCTTGGATATTTCATTCGGGTTTATCAGAACTGACAAATGTATACTTACTATTCAATGATCCATGCTGAATTGGCAACCAAATAGCAAAATGTAGGCAACAATATCTAAAGGAAAACGACTACAAACCAGCTACACTGATGACATTCCTTGTTGGCCACATTTTACATCTGGCTGCAATCCAATATGTGGTAAAACAAGCACTTAAACTGTCTACTGTACAGAGATTAATGTGACATAAGTCCTTTAGACTATATGTAATGTCAGCAATGTGAATAGCCTCTTTAAGCATTTTCATTTGAATTAGTCCAGTGAGTGATATGCCAGTATAATTACAATACATGCAGCCATACAAAAAAGTAGAAGGTTGCAGGACTGCTAAAAATCTAATTCACACACAATTTGCTTTAGACTACATATGAAACACGAGGATCACATATGTTTTTTTAAAAGGCGTGCAATGAGGAAAGGCCGTAGTACCTATATTTTATCCTATTGAACCTTTACAACATGGATGTTCCAAATCATTTATTTCAGTTTGCAGCCAGAATCAGGCCATCTGGTGCTGGATTCTGTATACAGAGGTTTGACGCTGGCTATGGGAAGACTATTATTCAATGAGCAAAGATAAACATACGTTGAGGCACTGAATTCAGCCGTTTGAATTTTAAATTCATATTCTGAAATTCAGACCTTTTCTGAATTATTTTTAAGATGCTGATTTTTTTTTTTTTTTAAATCAAATTTGAAATTTCAGGGCTGCTTTCTATCCAGATAACCAAAATTTGGTTAGAATGACTGAATTTTGACTGAGTCAGCACCATAAACCTGCTTCAAAATCAGTGCTTTTAACTTTAGAATCCTGTATAAAATATAGGATCCAGACATTTAGAAAGCACCAATTATAAACAAAACTGAGACCAAGTGCATCAGCTAGCTCGCCCACTCAGTCATTCTAATTTAGTTGCCTTTTGGCAAGTGAATTATAAAATTCCAAACTATTTGCCCACTGTCAGTACTAGCATCTACTGGGCAATAGGGATGTCCCGAACGGTTCGCCGAAAGGTTCGCGAACGGTTCGCCACGGACGGTTCGCCGTGGACTCATCATTGAGTAAACTTTGACCCTGTACCTCACAGTCAGCAGACACATTCCAGCCAATCAGCAGCAGACCATCCCTCCCAGACCCCCCACCTCCTGGACAGCTCACTAAGAATGCATCTAGAAAATGGATGCTGTCCAGGAGGTGGGAGGGTCTGGGAGGGAGGGTCTGCTGCAGATTGGCTGGAATGTGTCTGCTGACTGTGAGGTACAGGGTCAAAGTTTACTCAATGATGAGTCCGCGGCGAACCGTTTTGGACATCACTACCGGGCAACATGAAGGTTAATTAGATGGTGTGACGAAGTGCCCTTCGCCACTTGTGCCTTGAGAGGACTAATTGCCAGCCTCCTGCCCTGCGACTATGGCCCCTGGAAGATTTTGCCCTTTAAATACGTTATTTGGGCATAGTGGATTTTATTAGACTGGTTCTGGCCCTTTAAATGCTCTGACAAAGGATCTGCAGTTTTGCTATGCACTTCGGATGCAGAGTGTGAAGAAAATCCCTGTTTTATGGACTTAGTTAGACTGTTTTATTCCCCACTCCTCTTAGAACACCAGTTAAACTCTTAATAACTGTTATATATTCAAACTCTGTCTGACCCTTTTAACTGTCTTTTTGTTTTCCTCTGAGGAGGAGTTGTTTTGCTGCATGAGTGCTGTCGCTTTTGTGTGCTCATTAAACAAACCTGCTTGACCCTTTCTTGAAGCCTTGGCTCATGCTTGGGGGATGGGATAGGTCTGCAGTGCTGATGGTGTCAGTTGGAGTGCTTGGAGTCCTCAGCAAGCACTAGGAGCATCGATTGACGGAGGTACTCAGTCGGAGTGCCAGCGGGTCCGTCACAGATGGGATCCAATAGAAGATTCCTCGGATATTCAAGCAATAAAAAAGTGGCATGGTTCCAAAGTTAAATATAAAGTTAATTAGGTGGCGCCAAGCCTGCACTTTCTAACCTGCCACCACAGTAAAAAGTAAATAAAATATGACCCCTTTAGCAGAAATATCCCCACTCCCCAACTGGCAGGTGTAGGTATCAGAGACGTGTTAAACCTCCCTGTTGTTAGATGCCAGTCCTGATGACCCCCATATGCATTTTATTAATTTAATTTTACTGTGGCAGATTTAGCAACTGCTGGCAAGCCACCATATATCGTAATCCTCACACTGCCAAGGGTTTTGTTTTTACCTTTCCCCTCACTGGCTCCTAGCACAGCCAAGTGGGCAAATAGTTTGGATATTTAAACTCCACACTCAGATTTCAACCATTCAGAAGTGTTCAGACTTGTTCTTAAGAGTTCCCATGAAACCATAGTACAGCATCTTAAATCTACCAAGGGAAATAAAGGCAGAGGACCATTTCTGGGTGAAATTTAGACACAAATCTGACTTTTTCTGAGCCAGAATTGCAAAATGCAGACTGTGGTAAATTTTCCAATCAATGCCTGGATGGTAAATAACCAAATTGCAATTTGCGTCAGATAGAGATATTATACCTGAGATTTTCAATTCAGATGCACACTTAGTGCTTAGTAAATTCCACCCTTTTCATCTATTTAAGTATGTGCTTTGATAGTATAACCACTGGCAGTTCACCTGGCTCATTCAATCTTTAGCGCTTCCATTAGATATGTGTTAAAAGGCTGCAGCTCCGTTACACAACTAGGTTCAGCATCACTCAGCAACGATAAAAGAAATAGTATCACCCGCACCTTTCTGATAAGATTGTATCAGCAAGATCTTACCGTGTTTGACACTTTAGATGTTTTGTAACTGTAATATTATGTTGGTTTCAAATTACGCTCTTTTAAAATAGTTTTATAGTGTTTTATCACTGTCCTTTTTATATTAAGCATAGCAGCACCATTCAACGTGGCTGAAGATTTTTAAATTACTTGTGTGCTAATTTTTAACTATAAATACCAGAGGGTTGTGTGGCACCTGAATTGGTTGCCGTCGGAATTTTGTTGCAGTAGTTAGAACATCATTCTAAATCTATTTGCCTCTAAGTCTATGCAGGGTTGGAATTCCCATTAGTCAGAGTATACACTTTCCTACAGGCGCATGTCCTGTAGGGGGCACCTGTTTTCAGCAATTATGATGTCCCCTTTTGAGTTTAAGAGACACTATTGTTACCAGAACAGCTACAGCTTTATCTGATTGTCCTTATGTGTATAGTATGTCCCTGCAGGCTTTTCAATGTGCCTCCTATGGCACCTATATTGATCTGGCCTTGCCATAGACCTGTGTAGCGATTAATACTTCCAAGTGTTGAGAGGTATACGCTGATTTCTTCAGCTCCACATCAACCTGCTTCTTGGATGATGATTCTGATTACACATAGCAGTTCAGGGATTACACATAGCGGTTCAGCTGTAGCGCATGTTTTTGGAAACAAAGTTTTAAGTACTAGTAGTTTTGGGATCCAGAAGAGGTTGTGTTGATAAACAATGTAGCATTATGTGTTGGTATGGTAAAATCCACTGCTGCAGCTGTGATCGTGAATTGGAATAAACTTGGGTATATTTACTAAACAGGAGTTGATAGCCAAACTGCAAAAAAAACTCAATCTTTACTACTTTAACTATTTTTATAAGCCTATATAAACATCCACGCACACTAGCGTAATGACTCTCTCTCTTTCTTAAATAGTATTTCATTTTAATGTGTATCACTGGGGCTCCATTCACAATGTGTCGCAGCAAACAAAATATAACTGCAATAAATACATTTAAATGTTATACTTTGCGCCTGTATAGATGAGTCATAGCAAGGTAAATAACTAGTGATTTCGTAATCTTAGTATATTAAATGTTCTATGTTAGCTATAACATGTTTTCTTTTATTTATTTATTTTTTAATAATTTTATGATATTGCACTATGAAAAATAATTTGAAAACTATTCTGAAACATTTATTTGATCGTACTCTAGTGGCAAAAATTAACCAGTCTGTTCCTGTCTGTTACATCATACTATATTGCCATTCCATGTTTCCCATCTAATCCTTGCATTTTAACATTAAGTTTGGAGGTGCGCTTTTTTAATTTCATGCTTGTCATCATGTTCGTTTTAAACCAATGTGTTTTTGTGCTTACTATGATTATAGTAGCAGTGCTTTATAAGAAAACATGGTGCATTGGTTTGATAAAAAGACACATGTCTACAGTAGTGAAAGAATCGACTCACTTAATAATGTGAGAAAGACCAAAGACCTTTACCACATAGGTGCCAAAGAAAACTATAAGGATAGCTAACTTGTCCCACCATAGTGCACTTTGATTTCGGATATTTTTGTGCCAAGCTCAGACATAACATACTTGACAAGTCGGAAATCCCGAAAGAGAGGAGACCTGCTATTTGAGCATGTCTACGATGCTAATTAATTTATGGATGACGTTCATGCTCTTAAAGGAGGAGGGTGTCATACAGGCAAGCATGCGCGCAAATATTGCAGTCTGTCCATATGATAAGCAGTGCTGTAGTATTATGAGCTTAAATGCCCTGAAATTTAACTTCAAGTGCTGCTAAACAATTGTTAATATTGCTCTTGCGCTCTACTTTCCCCTCATTCCTCCCAACCTTAAATGACAGAATTGGTCTGTCGGTTGATCTGGACAACTGAGGATAATTAATGTGTCACAATAGGATATTACATGACTAATGAGGTCTGCAAGCTTTGCCATAAGGCAGCTGTACCTAGAGTCCTGGATTGGCACCCACAGAACATGTAGCCAATGTGGCAGGTCATACATGAACACTTGGGAGCTATAGTGTACATGAGTCTCTTTCTTCATAATCTAGAATTTTAGGCTTCATGAAGGACTGTTTGAACACAGTGTTTCTAACTAATGCCAAACTCATTTTTTCTGTAGACTGGACCTGGTGAAGCCACACGGGGAGATACAGTGGAGAGCACAAGTTCTAATCCGTCAGAAAACCCAGACAGCGGACGCCACATGTTCTCCTTTTCCTGGCTAAACTCTTTATCTGAGTAGTTGTCTCATTACAAATAAAATAAAACTTTGTCCACGGAAAACTCCAGAAATTATAAGCCGAGACATCGCAGTCAACCAACAGTTCAGATTAAATGTGTAATTTATCCTGTATTATTTTTTTTTTTACTTTTAATGACAATGTGAATTAACCTTTCGAGTGCCAGTAAAAGCGAGAAATAAATTGGTTATCCCTTCAGGCACTCAAAGGGTTAGGTTTCTGAACTATCTGCCTTTGTAGCAAAGTTGTGTACCGTCATGTTATTTTAAGGAGTGTAATTTATTCTGTCTGCTGCATTATTAAATGTAGACTGTTTGGATCAACAGCATCAACAGACATGTGTGAAAGGTTGACCTGGATAGGCTAAGGTCCATCTTTTTGTATTTCAGCCCAGACTACTACTGTTACTGTGTAGAATTAATAAAGAATCAGTGTGACATGTATCAGCAGATTTATAACATGAAAGAAAAGCAATTACCATAAGCTAGGAGTAGAATGTTTCCTACTTTGCATAGCCACACCTATCGCCCCATTCACAGCTACTTGCCAACATTTGTGACTACCCTCAATGGAATTGCAAACCTCAGCCATCCTTAACACTGCAGGACAAAACGATGAACTGTGACTTGACTACAAAGTACAATATATTTAGGAGGCTTATGACATGTTTTTGCAGCCCAGGAGGGTGTGGATCTGGGTAAAATTATCTTTATTCCTGAGCTGCATTCTTTAAATTGTGAGTTTAGAATTGAAGTTATGAGCAAGCCTTGGAAAGGGGTTAAAATGTGATGTGGTCCACAGGCAAAGTAAGTTTTATTGAATACAAGTCTTCTTTGGTCTTTTCAAATACCAGGAGGGGCAGTACAAGCTCATTCTATTTACACAACGTTTTGTGGAATATACATTAAGCTCTCTCTTCCCCATATTATGTGTACCTATAATCTCTTAAATATGAATTACATAACATGCACACAGTATATGTTTCTAAACATGCACACAGTATATTTTCAGCCACATTTGTCAACTAGTTACCTCATGCATTATTTGTTTAACCATGATCACAGTTTTTACAAAGGGGGACTAAACACCACAAACAGCAAGCTTCCTGCACTGTGCCTTTAATAGTTTGCCTTAACATGAAAATACATTGTCTAAAATCCCCCTCTTGCTAGCTTCAGTTGGATATTGCTGTAATGTCTGTGTATTAGTATGCACAATAGGGATTGTAGAAAATAAGCATTTTCACTTGTGTATGAAAATTTAGGACCACCTCTGTGACTTAATGAAAATATATTAAAAAAAAAAAAAAAAATAAGTTTAGCAAAGAAATTGGAGTGGACAGTAGTAATAACTTTGCAGATTTTATTAAAAATATAGATATTAAACATTATGTTACACACTGAACTTGTGCGAGCGCTGAGAAGATGTTTTAATTATGGAAATGTGCACAATAAACTTTTTTGATGCAAAATAAATAACAATATTTTTTTCACCTCCCAGAGGGTATCCCATCAGGTACTACAGAGTAAGCAAGTTTATTCAGATTTTGAAGCACAGACTCATACTGTTATTCCTAAGGAAATTATGTGAAGTAACCCTCCCCCCACCTCCCTCCCCCCTAGTATAAAATAAAAATAAAACATGTTATGCCTGTTGCTTTTATTTATTTTTTTCTTTTTTTTTTTAAAGCTGCAGTCGAATACACCCCGAGCATGCTGACAAACGAATATAGGCTGTTACCCCTTGTTGCCAGGGAGGTTAGATACATTTTGTTGAGCAAAACATTTGTGTTCCCTCCCCTCCCCTGCAGGCAGCCAAGGGGTTAAAGTGTGTATCCTCTATGTCTGAAGCTATAGAAAAATAAACAAATGGTATCAGGGCAGCACTATGGTACATCATAATGTATAGTTTGTGCTAAATGCAGTAAACTCTTTGGCATAAGAGTATATATGTATATATATTATTTCCCGATTATGTCCATCAGTTTCCTATTGCTGTGGGCTTGCTGGGCTATCTGCTCAGCTCTTGCCATTTCTAAGACTTCCCTGAGCAGATGGAAAGTCAGATCCAATGAAATTGGGGGTTCCTCAGAACGTTTCCCTCTCTCTGTGGGTTCCTCCTGAGTGTTGTATGGAATATCTGCTTCATCCAAAGATCTAAGTCCCTGCTGACTGTTCCACTGCTGAGGCTGAAGCTGAAGCTGTTGCACATCCCTTAGAAAGTTACCAGCAGAAGCTCCAAGCAAGTTTGGGGAGTACTTGTGGAGATTACCCAGGCGTAAGAAATACTCTTCTCCCATACGAAGCAAAAAGGGCTGGTACTCAGGTAAGAGAGGTGGGGGGACTCCAGCAGAAGATACTGAAGATTTGCTAAAAGCTCTGCACTCATAGCAAGGCAGAACAACCAGAAGTATTGCTGTCGATATCCACAGCTGGAACTTCATGTTATCCCCCTAAAGATAAGATCTGGAATAAAACAGATGTGCGATAGGTCCTTTGAAATGGAATGAAATCCCATGAAGGCAAGGCAAAAAAAAAAGAAAGAAAAAAAAGTGCAAAAAAAAAAGCATGAATATAAGTAATTGGAATGAAGAGAATGATAGAAAAAGAAAGGAAGGAGAAGAGAAAAAAAAAGAAAACAAAATACATTTAGTGATTTCTTTCCAATTTGCTGTAATAGCTCTCTCCATGGTGCTGAATTGAATATAATTGCAAGAACAACATCAGACTTTCAAATGGGACAAGGTAAGCTGTCTTTTATTTTACTGATCTCACCCACTGGATGTGAAAGGGGTTTTATTTAAAATTCACTGCATGCAGCAACAATCAGAATAGCAACAGGAAAAAAAAATAATTTAGCATTTGAAAAAAAAAGAATTTACTGACTAGTAGGCAGTAATACCTGTTGTACTGTCAACTGTGAAGATATTCAGAAATCCCCCAAATACCATAGAAAGTCTAACAAATGCAATCAGGTTCCAAACCACACAAAGAACAATACAGGATATCACAATAATAAGTGTTCAACTCACTTGCTGATGGAAAGCTTGTTTCTTGATCTTGGGATGGTGAAAATTCAAATATTACAGCATGAAAGGTGTGAGATTTTAGCTTCCTTAGTCAGGTTATATATAGAGATATAAATATATATATAGATATATATATATTTTTTGTTCTTCCTTAGGATGAAGACATATCCTGAACTTGTGAAATGAATTTCTTACAAAAGTGAGCCTTGATGCTGAATTTTTATAGCTAAGACCCTCTTCCAGAATCACGCAGCTCTTGCCTAATAAGCTGACGATTTCTTGACAACTATTGCGTGCAGATCTTCTACTGAATAAATAATGCCTCCTTGGAGCAATGGGCAGAGTTTTGCTATCACAACAATGAATCTCACATCCAATTATGTTCCCAGATATTTATCGCCTCCTTAGTGACGTAAATGACACCTAGAGTGGAAGCGATATTCACAAGTCTCCCATTGACAAAAAAACTTGAATGAGATTTCCCTAGTGAGCTAAGCAAGTGACCTTTTACTACCAAAGGTCAAAGAGACAGATATTTTATCTAGCTCCCAAATCTCGGTGTGGAAGAAGAAAAGATGTAAAATCCTAGAAATTATCCCTACGCTAAAACTCCCACTACTCTGGGGCAGCAAAATAGGCTATAGTACACATGCACTATCCCAAAAGGAAGTTACACATGCACTATCCCAAAATAGTTTTTGTTACCACTGCAATGGCCATGGAAGTGTAAGCTTACCTGCCAACATTAAGGCAAACCTCTTAGATGAGTCATAACAGTCACACTAACAAGTCTCCTTGCTGCTTTCAGCTAAAAGGCAAAATTGAATGCGATATTTAAGAGGGTATTTTTATGAACCCCTACAAACTTATTAACCCTTAACGGGACACCCATAGGGTGAGTGACAGTAGGGTTCTTTAGCTGTGGAATACAAATGTAAATATGAACACAGAAATAAGCCCTGCTCTCAAGCTTCCACTACTCTTGCGAGAAAGCAATTGCTTTAGAATTCATCAGCCCAAATGTATAAACAAAATACTCATTCCTACAATTTTTTTTATAGAATAATATTGGTGTGATCTTACATACATGAGCCGTATAAACAACTTAAGTTTACCCTCATCGTAATAGAGAAGCAATCATCACACATAAATAATATTTTTGGGTTCAAACAAGACAAAGCAAACAAAGTGTTCCACAGAAATGTTATTTTACAGAGGTGACTTAAACTGTTTAAAACGTTTGTGCACTTACTGTTGACAGCCTACCTAATGCCTCACCTTCCATTAAGGGGATAATGTCTCTGCGGTTTAAGTTGAAGTGTGATTTACGTTTTTAAATTACACACATGTTGTGACAGCTGTCAGATAATTGCTCCAACAATTGAATCTATTTCATTTACTGCAACAAACTCTGCAATTGAATTTTCTATATTGCATATTAACCAACAGCAATTCTTCAATCGGATTGAGCAAGTCAATAAAGCTCATCAGAAAAAGATGTGTAATGCCCTAATATCTGTTTCTTTTTTGTGTCCACTGTGAAGAATACAGTAGGAAACCATAATGTTTTGGATTAAAATCCTGATATCACGTTTTTATTTTTCATTTTCTTGTTTTATACACAAATTGGCATTTTTTTTCTATTTCCATAGTAATTCTGGTTAATTTTTCAGTAGTTCCTGTCACTTTATCCAATCACTGACAACCATTTATATTCCAGGGGGGGTTATGCTCCACTACATAACTATAATTTGAAAGTGTTCAGCTATCTGTTGTGTACAATAACAACTTAATTTATTGTACTTTTTGCTGACACAGGCTTAAGAGACCAAATACTGCAGGGTAGTCTAACAGGAAAAGGGTTAATGCTTGCATTAGCAGATGTTGCTGGGCAAGCGTTCAGTTCTGTTTAAAAAAAAAAAGGGGGGGGGGGCGGCTTTAAATTTTAAGAGAGCCACAGGCAAAAAAAAAAAATCCCTTTTCTAACCCAGATTTAATTTTAAAGAATCTAAACAAGGCACAAAATACAATTTCTAAAATGTCTCATTGTGATGTAACCCTACCTTTATTAAAGGATTTGTTGTTTGTATCTTTTACAGAGCAGTTGTCATGTACTCAAATTTAGCACAACCTAACAGCTAACTAAAAATAGGATGAACTAAATCATTTAAAAAAATCTTTATTATTCACTAAGGTGAATTCAAACTGAATTTCAAATTTAAGGTCAAAATAGCCAAATTGAAAACATTCTCTAAGTCAGCTATAATTTCTATTCAGCATTTAAAGGGACACAGCTTAATGTAGTTGTTCTGGTGTGTATAGTATATATACCTGCAGGCTTTTCAATGTAAACACTGTCTTAGAAAAGACAGTGTTTACATTATTGCCTAGTAACACCTGGCAGTCACTCAAATGACCACTAGAGGTGCTTCCTGGGTTTGTGCTGCACTAACGTTCAGTATCTCCACGCTCTGCATGGAGGCGATTAACATTCCTCATAGAGATGCATTAATTCATTGCATCTCTATGAGGAGATGCTGATTGGCGCAACGCAACGTTTCTTTTTGTATAAATGTGAAATTCTTTCAGTATATAAATACCCACCCTAAACGATTAGCAAAGAAGACTCTGAGTTAATTCGACACCAGAATTCGGCCAAAATTTGCCGCAGGACTTCTGCTTCCAGTGTGGTTCGGTGAGCCAAAGAGAGCGAAGTGCAGTTTTCTGCACATTCGGCTGATTCCCGAAGGATGGAGAGACTGGTTCCCCTTTTCCAGGGTCATGAGCATGCTTGCACACGCACTTGGGCTGCACAGACAGAGCCAGCGGGGAGTAGTGTGTCGCAGAGGGAAGTAGTGCAGTTGCTCAGGGCAGTGTTAAAGCGCTTCACCCCTGCGCAGGATTCAGGGTCTACACTGGGTCTGCGGGTGGGACCTCTCCCCGTCCTGAGGTGTGCCTTATGGAGATATGGATTCAGGATCAGAGGTAATTAGTACCTCCTCTGTAGGTCCAGTATATAATCATGCTACACTGGCTTTACACATGCCCTTGGATAAAATAAATAGTAGGTTTCTTGAGAGCACTGTCACAGTTCACTGTTTACTATTTGGACCCCATTTCAGGTGCCTACAAGGTATATGGAGGTCAGTGATTCATCAGTATGACTAGCAGTGTAAAAATAAAATAAAAAAAATAAAAATAAAAAAAAATAGGGATTTGAGCTCAATTGAATTTTGGAGTACAGGACAGTAACCTTTGGTTGCTACTTATGACTCTGTGTAGCCCAACCACTTTCCACCAGCGCTCCTGCAGGAGTGTCAGCAGGTCACAAGAATGGTATCTGTTGGTTCTTTAATGAGAGGTGGTATAGCAGCTGTTGATTTAAGCACAAGTGTTCCCATTGTAAGGGAGCAAACCCGACAGTGCATTGATTCAAGCTGGACGTTCCTCAGAGTGAGGACCATAATGAAGGCAGAAAGGCTGCTCGCATGGCTTGTTCAGTACCAAAATGTAGAAAGGGTTGCTTACATTTTATGGGAAGGTTTTACTGATGTTTTCCGTATTCTGTTGGTTTTGTCACAGGAGGCATCATTTGCACCTAATTTTGTATTGGTTCAGGGTAAGTAGAATATCTTGTCAGTGGAACTTCAAAAGGAGGTTAGGCTGGGTCACTTTGACAATTTGCGGGTGTCCTCTTTAAGGTTGGTTCGAAAAAAAATAAACTAAGCACCTTTCGGCTCATTCACCATTTATCCTTCCCATTTGGATCTTCGATGGAGATGGCACTGCTAAAGAGGTCTGTCGAGTACGATATACGTCTTTTGATTGGGCATTGGAGTTAGTTCGTCTGATAGAGCTGGGAGCCATGTTGGCAAAATCTGAATTTCAATCTGCATTTAGTTTCTTGCCAGGTCTTTTTGGGTTATTTTCATTTACTGGACTGTCAATTTAATAGGAATTTCTTTTATGACATGTATCTTCTGACGGGCTGTTTGATTTTGTATTTTTACTATTATTATTATTATATTTATATCTTATAATGGGTATTTGCAGGTAGCGGTTTGTTCATCTCTTCTGCATTATCTCGCCGATTTTTGTTTGTGGGTTTGTAAGGTTCTCAAGTTTGTACAGACTTGTTGTTCCACTTTCATAGAGCTATGGTGGATTTTGGTGTTCCAGGCGTTGAGGAGAAAACAGAGGGCTCTAGTATGATTATTTTTTCCTGGGGATTAAGATACAGTTGGTTAATAAGGTGTTTCACTTGCCGGAGGACAAGCTTCAAGTTGTCATTTCTGGAGGATCAGGTTCGAGGGGCTCCCTATTGGGCCCTTTGAATTCTACAATCCCTACTGGGCCATTTTAATTTTGTCTGTATGTCATGCCCATGGGGCATGCTTTCAGTCACTAACTTTACTTCATTCCTGGTATTCATCTACCTTTTAACTTGATTCGCCCTTTGGGAGTTTGAAGTTTTGTTCCTTGTGGGTTACAATGGGCAGACATTTTGGCACAGTTACACAGTGTCTAACTTGGACTTTGAGCTGTTCATGAAGGCTTCAGTTCAGCTGTTTTTTGTGCCCTTTTCTGAGGGCTATGATGTACAGGCCACTGGCATGGTCAGATTCCTTTTTGGTGCTATTCCCTATTGTAGTGTCGGTCAAGCTCTGGGTCTCGGCAAAGCAGTAGGTTCTTTTCCGTAAGATAACCTTAGGGCAGTTCATTTCATAAACCAGTTATCATTGGGTTCTCTTCCGGTATTGGCCTTATTGTGACGATTGGTTCTACATTGCTTGGAATGTAATATTTGCCAGGTGTGTCTAATGTATTGCCGACTCTCTTTCTCACTTCCAGTAAGATCAATGTCGAGAGGTGATACCAGAGAGAGAGGCTTATGGAGTGCCCTGAATGCTTCTGGAACCTAAGTTTTGGAACTTGACTGACTTGATTGGGAGTTCCCTGACTCCTACGTCATTTGCAGAATACCTGACAGTGTGGTATCAATAGATTTGTGTGGAAGGAGAATTTGGTTGGTCTTCTACAGAAAGTAGGTTGTCATCCACTTTAGCCTTTTTTTCTGACTTGAGGCATTGTGGGACATCCATGTCAATGAATTAGGGTATGTCAGCTCTTTTAATTTTGATGCACTTGATGGGATGGGAATATGTGACTAAAGCATTTGTGGTTCAACTGGTATTACATTGTTGGTGGTCGTTAGGCATCCTGTATTTGTGCACTTGCTGGTAGACGTAGGTGGGATCCTGACTGCTCTTTACTGAAGAAATTTAAAGTGTACCTGTCTGCTGGGTAAAACCAGCAGCTCACAGTATTTGTTTGTGCTGGTTTAAGTAAAGCTGTGGCCGTTGCCCTTACCCACTTAACATGGTGTTGCGTTACTTATTGGAAATGAAAGGAATGAAAGGGTAATGAAATTTGGTAATCGAAGGAGTCAGCAGGTACAGCACTACTGTTGAAATGCTGAGTGTTTAAGATATTTCTCTGGTAGATGCTAGTGTGTACACGCACACACCCAAAGCATTATTTAATATATTACAGATTGATTTAACCAATCATTGTTAACAGGAGTAGTCCCAGAAGATTGGAAGTTAGCGAATGTTGTGCCCATTTACAAGAAAGGTAATAGAGAGGAGTCGGGCAACTATAGGCCAGTAAGCCTTACTTCAGTAGTGGGAAAAGTGATGGAAACCATGTTAAAGGATAGGATTGATGAACATCTAAAAACACATGGATTTCAAGATCAGAGACAACATGGGTTTACTTCAGGGAGATCATGCCAAACTAATCTTATTGATTTTTTTGATTGGGTAACTAAAATTATAGATCAGGGTGGTGCAGTAGACATTGCTTACCTAGATTTCAGTAAGGCTTTTGACACTGTTGCACATAGAAGGCTTATCAATAAACTGCAATCTTTAAGTTTGGATTCCAATATTGTTGAATGGGTAAGGCAGTGGCTGAGTGACAGGCAACAGAGGGTTGTAGTTAATGGAATATATTCGAAGCTTGGACTTGTCACCAGTGGGGTACCTCAGGGATCTGTACTTGGACCCATTCTCTTTAATATTTTTATTAGTGATATTGCAGAAGGTCTTGATGGTAAGGTATGTCTTTTTGCTGATGATACTAAGATATGTAACAGGGTTGATGTTCCAGGAGGGATAAGCCAAATGACAAATGATTTAGGTAAACTAGAAAAATGGTCAGAATTGTGGCAACTGACATTTAATGTGGATAAGTGCAAGATAATGCATCTTGGACGTAAAAACCCAAGGGCAGAGTACAGAATATTTGATAGAGTCCTAACCTCAACAATTGAGGAAAGGGATTTAGGGGTGATTATTTCTGATGACTTAAAGGTAGGCAGACAATGTAATAGAGCAGCAGGAAATGCTAGCAGAATGCTTGGTTGTATAGGGAGAGGTATTAGCAATAGAAAGAGGGAAGTGCTCATGCCATTGTACAGAACACTGGTGAGACCTCACTTGGAGTATTGTACGCAGTACTGGAGACCGTATCTTCAGAAGGATATTGATACCTTAGAGAGAGTTCAGAGAAGGCTACTAAACTGGTTCATGGATTGCAGGATAAAACTTACCAGGAAAGGTTAAAGGATCTTAACATGTATAGCTTGGAGGAAAGACGAGACAGGGGGGATATGATAGAAACATTTAAATATATAAAGGGAATCAACACAGTAAAGGAGGAGACTATATTTAAAAGAAGAAAAACTACCACAACAAGAGGACATAGTCTTAAATTAGAGGGACAAAGGTTTAAAAATAATATCAGGAAGTATTACTTTACTGAGAGGGTAGTGGATGCATGGAATAGCCTTCCAGCTGAAGTGGTAGAGGTTAACTCAGTAAAGGAGTTTAAGCATGCGTGGGATAGGCATAAGGCTATCCTAACTATAAGATAAGGCTAGGGACTAATGAAAGTATTTAGAAAATTGGGCAGACTAGATGGGCCGAATGGTTCTTATCTGCCGTCACATTCTATGTTTCTATGTTCTATGTTTCTATGTTTCTATATTATGGGATGGTGATGACACTGTAACACAGAATTGCAGTTGAGATAAGTACATTTTTTACTTACCTCCAGTGTATTATTCATCCCAACCTACAAGCAATAGTAGCAACACAAAAAGGTGCACTGCCAGGGTAAAGGTCAGTCCATATGGCACATATAATGCCCATAATACCCAGTTGTTCATTGTTGGGAATATGAAATTAATATGATAAATACATTTGAAAGCAATAAATTCCCTATTTCCAAAGAATGTTTAATGTGTCTGAGTTTTTTGACAGACAAACAAAATCTAGAACAACTTAAGTACCTAAAAGCTACTAATACAGGATAAAGGAATTATCTACCAAAGAACTTGCTCAACTGGTGAATAATGCCCCCGTCCAAGGCTCTCTAAAAAAAAAAAAAAAAATCAAAAAAAGAAAACCACACAAGTAAAATTATATATTCTCAGGAGCAAGGGAATAGGATAAGAAAGGAGGAAAACAATAGAATAGAAAATAAATAAAAATACATAAATAAATATATAAATATATAAATATAAAACCTGGCTGTTAAGAAAATTCTCGAAACTGAAAGGATTATGTATCAAGGCAATACAGGTGCAATTTTGGGTGTTACATGAAAAATGTTGAGACTTCTTATTTGTTTCCATGATAATTGAGATGAATCTTCCCTTCTATTTGCGCATTGAGGAGAGAAATGTATTAAGGCAAAACTAGGTTCTATTCTGGGGCAAGATTCTTAATAAGGGGCAATCAACATGGAAACCAATAGAAAATGTCTCAGCATTTAGCACTTTGACCCTGAAAGACACCTGTTTTGCTTTAATATATCTGCATATGTGGGTCAGTTTCCAACTGTGCATCAGAAATGTAATTACCAAATATTTGAATTGAAATTTTAGGTCTAATTCTGCTATTCTAAAATACATTCTAATACGAAGTGCAATTGTTTGTATATATTTGTCATCTATTTACCTGACACAATGTATACAGTAATGGATCTTAACCACTTGGATGAAACCTATAACTGGAATCCCATGAGGTGTTCAGTGGGTATACCCGTAGTACAACAATATCATTTTGATCTGGCCCCAGGAAATTCCCCACAATAAATTGGTTACTTTCCTTCCTAAGTGCAGTGGAGTCCCCTCTGGCACTAAGAAAAGTCTAATGAAGGTATTTTTTAGAAACAAATTCTATATATATTACGTTTTAGTTGAGGAAAGGTCATCAAGCTGATGCAAAAGAATAGATCATGAAGCTGAAGTCATATATATAATTTGGTTTCCTTATGAAAAAAAACTTACCTGAATCTCTCAATCCTAGCCACTTCCATCTTCTTTCCTTTTCATATCTTCATCTCCAGGCTGCTTACCTGCCAGGAACTGCCATCTTTATTGTACTCTCGTGCATGTATGAGTATAGGATAAAACGTAGACAAAAATTCAATTGGCCACTGCCCTTCCATTCCACCGTTCTACACCATGAAATATGTATACAGCACATTTACACTGAAGCATCACATGCAAACGTAAAGATTATCACAAAACACCACAACATTAAAACTCAGTAATGTGCATAGTTGTGTATCACAGATCGTATACTCTTACTAGAAAAGCCCAGAGTAATGTGCATTTTTATGTCAGTATCACATATTTCCACTATAATAAACTTTGCGATAACCTGATGTGATGTAACATGTGGTGGTTGTACTTAATGTGTGAGTGTGATGTGCTCCTGTGTAATGTGTGTAATGTGTGTAATGTGTGTAATGTGTGTAATGTGTGTAATGTGTTTTGGCTGTTAGTGTATATATGTGTGTAATTTGTGTTTGCTGTTTGTGAGTAATGTGTGTTGACTGTGTGTGTGTAATGTGTGTTGGCTTTTTGTGTGTAATGGAGTTGGCTGTTTTTGAGTCAATCATCTAAACTTGAATATAGACTAATCATGGAACAAATGACCCACTCAGTGGACCAACATGTTAGTTTTGGTCCATGAATCAGAATTCTATACATGGTGCCAAAAAAAAGAGACGATGGATGGAAAACAAAAATAACTGATAGGGGACAGCTCACAAATGAAATGAGTAATAGAGAGAAATAAGAAGGCGCCGTAATAAAAATCTGTGTCAGTATGTGTGTATGTGTGTTTATGTGTGTGCGTGTGTGTGTATAATATGTCTGAAGTGTGTCTGTGTTGTTCTGTGATGTGTGTGGTGGCAGTTTAATTCAGATAAAATCAGTTTTATCCCCTCAACTAATTACCGTTTTTGTAAGGGAGAGCTAAAATCCCTGATGTTCCAGATGAGGTTAATAATGATTCCCTGGTCTTCCAGTTGTTGACGCAGGTTGGCAGGCTGGTGCAGTCTGTATACATTGCTCCTTCAGGTCCAACATTCAGTGATGAGTTAGGGAATCCTGGCAGCTGCATTCTATAGCCCTAACAGACTAAAAAGCCATGAGGGAACGATCATTATGCTCTGCGCCAGCCATAGGTACAACCATGTGCTCAACCACTGGACCATTAGGGAATCATTAGTATTTATTAAACTGTCCATCAGGCAATATATTAATAAAATGTACATTGCAATTTTAATGAGGGGGAGGGGGTTGACAGTGGCATTGACGGATATTGTGCCCTATACTAAGGAACACTAATGAGCCACCTAAAGGTACTACAAAATGGGGTCTGTAGAATATTCAAAAACACCATGCTATCTTCCATGGATAATCTTGAAATGCCATTGGGATCTACTGCATATCACACAGGATGAAACTCCTTGAGAATCTGTATTGATGGTCTATCTTTATGAAACACTCAGAAGACAGTTGCTCTTTAAGAACCAATGGTCTAAATGGGAAATCATTCTTTACAAAGACCCCCTTGTCCCTCACTGCACATTTTATATGCATTCTCAATAGATCATGGTATATGGTTTACTTTCTTAAATATCAATTCCA